ATGACGTAGAGGGGAGGGTGCCGACGGGAATGGGATTTTCGCAGTGAGGTGCGAGAGAGATACTGAGAAATAAGGGCAAAAGGAGAAAGGATTGAGTACAAATTGATTTATTTTATTTTGTTTGGTGAAGTTATTCATGATACTGTTTCATTATCCATTTTATTTTATTTTTTTGATTTTCTATGACAGTTAATACTTTATTGAAGAGTTACTTATTTGTTTAATTAAAATCCGTGGAGGAATATTTTCTTTACTTTCTTTGTTTTGTCCCGACCTTATCTAAATAATTACTTGTATTCATTATTACAATTTCAGTAACGGTGGTTACAGCATGACCTCTGATGTTGCAAACTCCAAAATGTTCCCTATATCTCCAAGTGCTGTATAATTCCAGGCTTTTTTATTTAATCATACAGAACTATAAAAAGTTAGATACTTAATTTTTAATTTATCTTGTAGACGATGTTTTCCTAGGTGAAAACGCTACATTTTAGCTCTATGTGCAAAAATATCATGTACGTATGTAAAGATTAAAGTAAAATATTAAAAGCTATGTAATAAATTTCAAAATCCAGTGGTTCAATTGTATTTACAAATTTAAATATTGTTGTCCGTCTTATTTTAATCGAATATTTCAACTTTAAAACATTTTAGGTCAAGGATTACTTCGTTTATTCTTAACAGGATGAAGGTTGCTCTGATTTCCTCCTAAGTTTTACATTTTAAGATTCTTTTAGGGATTTAATTATTATGTAACCTATTTGGTAGAATCTAAGCGGCCTCAGTCAATCATTTGTAGTATGGTCATTCCAAACAATATACTTACAAGTTAAGTTTAAGCCAGTCAATTTTATTTCACGATTCATTTATTGATTTTTTTAGGAACAGTATCGACAAAATTTATCAATAATGTAAATCTGCATTGGTTCTGCCGATCTTTGCGTTTATCAGAAATCGTGAGATGCGGTCTGGTGTGATGTAGGTTTTAGAAAAACATTTTCTTTATGTGCCAACGTTTCGATCTTTATTGAGATCATCTTCAGGGCCTGGTTGCAGCATTGTTTAAATTTAACAAATACATGTAGGATGTGGAAAAAAGTGAATTTATATAATGAAAAAAATATTTTTTATGTTCAATCAACGTATTTCTACTTTAAACCAATTTAGTTACAAAACAGACATAAGCGTAACTTTCTAGAAATGGTTTACATCAACGGAGATAAACACAGCATCAATTACAGAACAGATACATGTAAACTTAGTCGCAGCTACGCTAATATCATTAATCAAATTCAATGATTCATTTCATTTCATAAACAAAATTAATAATATCCACATCCCCTCACACTACTCTCTCATATCCCTAGATGTTTCATTATTGTTTACCACCATTCCCTTAGACACAACACTGAACATTATTAAAGATAAATGGCCCAACATAACACCACACACAACACTATCAAAGAACACGTTCGTAACAATGATCCGACACTGCTGTGTTAACGGATATTTTACATACGACAATCACTTTTACAAACAACTATTTGGTATAGCCATGGGTAGCAACCTAGGCCCGATACTGGCAGACATAATCATGACACATCTACTAAATACAGTCNACACTTTGAGTGAGTAGAAATACTTTGTTTGAATATAAAACATATTTTGCATTGTATAAATTCACTTATCCACATCCTAAATGTATTTGTTAAATGTAAACATTGTTTGTAAATCCCAGGCCCTGAAGATGATCTCAATAAAAGATCGAAACGTTGGCACGACAAAGAAAATGTTTTTCTGAAATCTACATCACACCAGACCGCATCTCACGGTTTCTGAATAATCATTTAACATTATATATGAATTTAAGTATACTTTTAATCTAAGGTCTTTCTTGAGATGAAAAAGCAAGTGTCACACGGTGCGGGTTTCGAACCCACAACATTCAGTTTAATACGCCGCTGTTCTAAATTGAGCTATTGTGATTACACGATATTTGCCAATATGGCAAAAAGTGGGAAAATTGGAAGGTTGTAGGTTGAGAAGAGGAGTCGGTGTCCGAGTGGGTCAAAGTCATGATAGCTCAACTAGTTAGAGCAGCAGTGTATTGCGCTGAAGTCGAGAGTTCGAATCCTGCTCGTGACACTAGCTTTTTCATCTCAACTAAGTCCTTAGATAACAAGTATAATTAATCAAAATAATAGGTCAATTATGACTACTTAATGTATAGATGGATTAGATATTAAGTTTTGTGTGTTCATTTTGCGTTGTGGAGTTTNTTTCCCCCTCTGTACTAATATTGAGATATGTTTAAATTAGTTCTTTTTTACTTCAGATCAGGTATATAGGCAGGAAGCCTGAAGCCAGTCTTTTAATTTCTTTGTAAATTCTGTATATATTTTGTAAATAAAAATAAATTTCAAGTTTCAATGTGTTACAAATGTGGGTACTGAACATTTTGTAAAGAAGGGGTACGAGTACGCTACCCTGTGGGACACTGTCGAGAATTGAATAAATAGAGGAGAAATACGTATTTTTTACAGTTTAGAAGTGACGGTCTGCAAGATATGATTTTGGTATATGCTATAAAATTGATGGTAGGACGCCCTTGAACAGAAGACACGGGTGTCATACCCTGTCAAATGCCTGGTGTATGCCCAGAAAGGCGCCGAGGCAATAATGGTTCGGTTCAGCTCGGGGCAGTGGCAATGGTCTACAATGCGTTGAGACTGTTGGATAGTCAAGTGGCAACTGCCAAAGTAGAATGTGATTGAGTTATGTGGGAAGTAAATTCGTTATACAGACGGAGCAACAGTAGTTTTTCAAGAATCTTACCGATTATAGGCTAAAGACGGATTGACGGTGGTGAGTTGGTATTTTTGGTTTTGGAAAAGAAGAGAATTTCCATGGGGTCAGGAAGTTGGTTGGGCGTAGGACAGCTTTGAAGAGATAGGCTATGAAGATTATTGTTTATAACGGGATAGTGTTGTAGGAGTGATCAGGACTGTTCAATAATATTGGTGGCGTGGACTGGGTCCTAAACAGGATGTGGAGTGACTATTTTTGATAAATATTGTACTTGTAGTTGGGCTATATCCTCATCAGAGTTAGCCCCGCTCCCCCATCTGTTCGTTGTAGAAGTTGGAGCTTGTTTTTGTATTTTAGTGTTTTCTTAGTCGCAATCCAAAATGAGTTGCATTCAGGGGCCAATGACTTAGTATATGTAGAATATTAATTGTTGAAGTAGTTGTGTAATTCTTTAGATAGTTTTCTAGATAGTTGTGGAATATATTTTGTAAGGAGGGTAACGGGAGAGGTGCCATCGTGCTCTTGCTCGATGGTTTAACGTTATCAGTTGTCTTAAATATAATGTTATTCATTTGGGGCCACTTATGTTGTGTAATGTCATAAGCTTTGTATATGAAAGAATTTGTGAATGAGACTGTTTACTACTTTGGTTAATAAGGGTATTAAAGGGCGTAATTATAGGCTTGAAAAGATTGACAAAGAATCCAGTAGGCTGTGATATCTTCTGAGGGAGTAGGAATGGTGTTGTTTTGTGTTGCTGGGGTAGGAGTAGAGGGAAAAGGATAGGAAACTGAAGACGAGTGGACACCGCGAAAGATACACTTTTATTAAAGAGAGATGGCTTGGTGATTGCCATTAAAGGAGCAAAGACGGATGGTAGTTAACATTTTAACATAGATGAGAAGTATTTTGAGTGTGGCTACTTTTATTGCTGGAGGGTATCCTTTTCATTTTTATTTTGAAATTATAATATTGAAGTCTGATATTAATTATATCGAACTAACTAACAATCTGGGTAACGATATTTTAAAAACCATCGATCTTTGTAAACAGCAAATGCGCAACCAACAACCAACGACCGCATAGTTATTAAAACATAGTTTTTTAATTCAAAACGTAGAAATGAATTAATAAACGAATTAATAATTTAAAAAATAATGGGACTATTAAAAGTGGAAGCCTTATATATAGGCCTTACACGTAATAATATTAGGAATTAAACGCATTAAGGATAAAAATACCATAGGAAAACCTCTACAACAAAATAATACTAGTCTAACCTAATCGACAGAAACAAATATATATAAAACATAAAAGTCGAAATATTGTAGAAGGTTCCATTTTGTTTTCTTAAAGTTGTTCATATAATCAGTGATCTAGTTCTTAAAAATTTGGAACAATAACACAATAGCTCTCTTGCATATATCGAATATATTTCGGGACTCACATATCCCCTCTTCATCCATAAATTAAAATTAACATTTAAAAATTTTTCTTCTTTAAGCAAGATAAAGGATAAAACATAGTCGATATATTAAGGTCATTACGCAATGAAAATTAACAATCTTGTTCCTGCACACACACCGCACTAAACCACTATAAACGCTGAAGAGTAAGTACGCAAACACAGAATATTTAACCCATTGATCGATACATTTCACGTAGGTTGTTTTCCCCCTTTAAAAACACTTCATAACGTAAAAAGTGGTGAAAACTGTCTTACGACAGGAACAAATAGGAAATAACTAATACTTGATCCTTAATACATCTGAAGACAAGGACTCACCCCTTTCACACAACGACTCATCCCTTTCGCATTTTACAAACCTTTGCAACGATTGGAAAAATAGCACACATATTAGCCAGTGACGATGGCGAAATGCCAAAACGCGTCTGATAAACAAAACCAGCGATAATGGCGAGTCACTAGGGGTGATCTCAGATAATTATCTACAGGAGTGTCCAAGATTTTTTACTTTCTTTGAAAGGACATGGAAGAAAGATGTGTGTAATGTTTCAAGGTTTTTTTTACGTTTTTCCTTAAGCAGGGATGCCTTTTTATTTACTATTTAATTGAATAAAAATGAAGATATATCTTGAGAAAAGCTAATCTGGCTAAACAATGGCACGGCGGCGCGTTGGTTGCTCCCTCCACTCTTCTCCCCTCTCATCTTTCTCTTCTTTCCCAGTCTTCGTACTTCGCTACTTCCAGTCTGTTTCTTGAATCCGGGCCCGGTTTTGTTCCCTTTCGGCAAGCCAAAGCATATAAGACAATTGAAAAGTATATCACAGCAAAGAACGAACAACAGTAAACATAGTGACTTCATTTCATACTTAAGAGTTCAAAATTCGTTTAATCAAAATACCTTGGGTTTTTGTGAACAAGACCTTTATTCAAACATGAGTGCGTGCGAATTGACTTTGAAATAATCAATACTGCAGCACAGTAAAAAGAGGTTAGCGTTATTAAAAGAATGATGTTTTATATTGGTGTTCAGATTTACCACAATTCCTGTGAATGACATACTATGTATGTGACCTTAAACATGCGAATTATAAATTGCAATATGGTTTTTAACTCATCTTTTTTATTCATTAATTGTGTCATTAATACATTAAGCGTGTCCAGATAAAAGGGTTTGTTTGATTACTTAAAAGCATGATACAAAAATTATTGTTTCTTATTAAAAGCTAAAACTTAAAAGCAATCAAAGGCTTTGAAAAAGTTTTAAATCTTGATTCTTAACTCGTTTATTTTAATTTTTTTAAACTTAATATTATACGTTATATTAACGCTTAACAATTTTAATTCCATATCAAATTTATAAAAATAAGCAATTTCCTACACAGAAAATCTTTTTGAAACGTGTTTAAATTTTATTTAAATGTATTTAATTTTTTACATGTATTTTGCCTGGTAAAAAATCTTATTTTCGTCATTCTCATCATATAACAACTGAAAAATATTTCTTAGATTGAACTGGTAAAACCATTGTAAAAACTATTAAAAATCTTACCTTCGAATCATATTCTTAAATTACAAAATTTTCTTCTCACAAGATCTTCCTGAAACATAGATGTACATAAAAACGCCTTTATTGAAGAAGTATTTACATATTTTAAACTGCTTTTTTTCTAGGATTGGTATTTCAGTCCGAGCATGACCTACGACGTATATCACCCTTACAAAAAATGCTTTCAGATTGTAAACAGTGAGTGTGATTTCGACAATTTAAATTTAAACTGATATTTCGATTCTCGTAAGTCATAATACAAAAAAGGTACTAGGGAAAAATGGAAAAGCCGTACTTCGAAAAAATGTTGACAACTATTGCACTGGAGTTTTTCATGCATGAGAAATTAAAAAATATATTGTACATTATAAAATTGGATTTAAAAAAACAAATATTTTTTTCATATTTATAAACCAACTATTTATATTTTATTTGTTTCTTTCGTTACAATAAGCACTTGTCGCGTGTGTATTTAAGGCGGAACTTGTGTAATTATCAAATGTACATATGTTGTGAAATTATATTGAATATTATTTATTTTTTATCTTGAGCCTCAATGTTCAACAGAACGAGACAACCAAAAATATTTTTGGTTGCCTCCGTCTGTGGAATAGAGTGGATCAACATAAAAAATAAATTTTAGTAACAACCTATAGAATAGAATAAGAATAACAATATTAAATATTTCTTTTAAATTTTGCACCTCTTTGCGTTGGAACCTCATTATATAATTATTGTTTACGTAACTTCAAAATGAATGAATAAGTTTACTTTAATTTGAATTTACCTAAACAATAATAAATAACAATATTATCAAGATAAGATAATATAGTTTTTATGAAATATCAGCGAGTTTATTTATCTTGTATTTTGGCATATCTGATAGTAATAGCCAGCGAAAACATAGCCGATGACGTTGCACTGGTTGAAGATGAACAAAGTTAGTGGTACGTGGCGCGAAATGTACATTTACCTGAAACGAGCTATATATCCATAACTATCCAGAGGTATCGAGATTGAGAATTGTATTAGACTAAGAGAGAAGAGATCGGGCCGCCAAAGGGACAGGCCACCGGTAGATGAGGAATTTATAGTTTTCTTATGCTCTTAGAAATTGCTGCCACTGACACTGCTCTTGAATTGATCAGAATTCAAACGTTGCGTGGATTAAGTAGGATTTATCTGTTAATTATCTATAGTTTTAAAAAAAATCAAATTATTTTGTTAAAAACACAAGTGCTGAACGCTATAAAGTTATTTCTAGGTCAATCCCACTCAATTTTCTCTATTTTAAAAGTATCGCCGTTAGCCGCTTAGCTCCATCTAAATAAAACCAAAGTCACAGGGAAGATGTTAGAACAATACATATCGAGGTCATGGGTTTGAAAGTTATCGGCCGGGCGGACGAACGGTGCCAATTTCTATAAAAGCGACAGGACAATTGTTACTCACTATGCTACTGGTATTTATTTACCGGCCAAATTCCTGCCTTTTGGCATTTCCTCTTGCCCGGGGACCAACTGGGCGGCAACGTGAACAGCGGCATAAGTTATGCAATTTGCCATGATCCAGTGCTCGTATCGCCCAACTTGTAGTCATGGTTACGCCAAATCCTTTTCAAAACCCAGCTTCTTAATGAGCGAAGCAATCAACGTTTCAAAAGCACACCTTTGATAAACGACGAAGTTTTTATAAGGACTCCTTAAAAAATCTTAATTCTATACAAAAACAAAGTTAAGAGTAGAGTAGATACGAACAGCTAACTTGCCTTTAATAATATTAAGTAATAGTAATTAAAGTCAGTAACATTAATTAATCCTTTTATGTTTAGTGGTCTAATTGACCAAATTACTTCTTTCAATTAATTATTCTTATTATGTGAGGTCTTGGATGAGATGAAAAAGTTAGCGTCACGAGCGGGATTACTCTAGCCGAAGGTCGAGGGTTCGAATCGTGCTCGTAACGATAACTTTTTCACCTCAACCAAGACCTTGCATAAGAAGAATAATTAATGGAATTAAATTAAAATTCATTAAGTCTAATTAGAACTAACGGTAATAAGATGGCCTGTAGTTTTTTTTCTGGTTATATTTGTATGGAGATATCTAGAAAAACTGCTTAAACACATTCTCCCCATCCTTCATTCTTATAACCTTATCCCTGACCATCAGTTTGGGTTCAGACGATCTCGTTCCACTGTTCAGCAGTGCCATCGCCTTTTAGACATCATCGCTACAGCTCTTGAGCAGAAGGAGTGCTCCTCCAGTGTAATCGTAGATGTGAATCAAGACTTCGATCGGGTATAACAATCAGGTCTCCTCTGGAAGCTTAAAAAAGTCCTCCCTTTTACTACCTGATTCTAACATCCTACCTATCCGACATATATTTCAAGTCATAAATGGCCACACTGTAACAGCCGGGTATCGCACATATACATCGGTACTACAAGGGAGTATATTATATATATATATATGGTATATATAGCTATTTATTCCTACTACATACATACATTCCTACTCTTCCGGAAATGATCCTTTCTATCTATCCGGATGATACTGCCATCCTTTGCTTCCATAAAGACCCTGTCAATTCAACCAGAAACCTACAAAGCTGTCACATCCCCTAAGCAGTGGTTCAAGCAATGGAAGATGTACAATAAACGAAAATGTGAACATCACACGATTTCTAGGCAAAATTAACTTGGGGTTTGTATAAGACCATTTTTACTAAAGTTAATAGTTAGTATACACTGACAGGCAAAAAATTCCGCCCACTTCTTATATAACTTGATTTGTATGTATTTTTATATATTAATCAAAGTTTCTCGTTTATTAAAGTTTAATAATTGAATCTTTGTCTAAAAAAGTTAAAAAAAATGTAAATTGCTAAGGAAAATGAAAAAAAAGAAAAAAGAAAAAAAATTTAACATAATAAAGTATGTATCGCGGCGAATTTGTTATTCCTTCTTGCTGTATCTAATGTTTATTTAAGTGTACTACATGTCTGCCAGAAAAAGAAATAATGTTTTTACAAAATAATGATTTTCTCTACTATAGGAAATACAGCCGTATATTATTTTGTTCAAATGATTTTTTTTCACGACCCAATACACCCTGGATCGAGGAATTTATTCCTACATGTTCCTTAAAGTAATAAGTATATTGATTATGTTAATTAGAAGTACAATTTATAAATTATTATTGATTTTTCAATTAGTAATTTAATTATATTATAGTTAGGGTTTGGGCCTGTAGGGGACGTCGTCACACATGCAGTAGGGAACAGGACTTTCGTTTCGTAAAAATAACCCATGCATGGTCCATGACCCGATATTATCGTTGTCAACTTGATGAAATTCTTGTAATTAGTGCTGACGAATAGCGAGGAAGAATTTTTCACATGTGTTTTCTTAATCCTTTTCCCATTTTTTAATGGCTTTAGTATATTATTTTTTACATATGTTCTGGGAAGCTTGCTGAGAGCATCGTTTGAAACCTCTTTCTGCCTCCTCATTTCCATAAAGTCTAACACGCTCCTTGACTCAGATCAAAGCACTCTCCGATCCCATCCTTCAATTGCTCCTTATTCTGGATATGATTTGTTCTATCAATTAAGCTCTATTATTTTGGTCCATGAGAGCATCGAATTTGACCTGGCTGTCAGTCATGATAGCAAATTTTATTTTTTCGTTGGTTATTATAATAAGCTCATTTGCCCGTTCCATTTTAAGACAGCCGACTGCTCAGCCAGAAATTATATTTTATTGAATATTAACGTTTATCACTCTTACGATTGGGGGGGGTATTATTATTCATAAAAATAGATAAAAAATAGATGCAAAATAATTTATAAAATGATATGTGTTCAATCACAGCAGGGAGAACAAGCGGACCATTTGAATGCGTCGTCAACCCTTATATGCGGTCCGGTTTATATGATAAAATGACTTTTGGTTTATATCCAACGAAGTTTAACGCCCGGAGCGGACAACGGTGGGCAGTACGCATTTTAACATCTTAGCCAGACGTGTTTTCATTTCTAAACCTGGCATGTCATCAATTCATATTAAACGTTTAGTTGTAGACAGTTTTCAAAGTTAACGCTGTGTGGTATTTATGATGTAGTAGGGGGGGGGGTCATTTTTCATATCGCACAAATTTGTAGTTCATTGTCAGATAAAAGACAAAATCTAACAGAAGTGTAATTTAAAGAAATGATGAGTTATTGTAGTTATTATGTTTCAGATGGTAGAACAGCCGAACGTGGCTGACAAGGCGAAGGCACTCCTCGTGGAAAGGAGGCTTTTATTTTTCTGCACCTGTCTAGTCGGAGCTGCCACCCTGATTTGGGTGATTGCGGTCAATACGCAGGGCTGGTTCACCGTCGCTGCTCAAGATCAGAGTTACGGCATTTTCATAAACGAAACTCAACGGTTTTTCCTCCGAAGTCGATCCGGACTCTTCAGGATATGCAGGGTCGGGAAAAAAAACCAAACAGCTAAGCCTATCGGTAAGCCAATAGTGTGTGTGTGTGTGTGTGTGTATGTGTGTGAAGGTGTATATGAGAGCCTAGCCTACTATAACGAAAGATTAACATCGTTGTGAAAGACTTATTTTCTGTGAACTTAAACGTGCTTGCTTCACATTTCGACATAATTGGCATTGCCTGCACCAATCGCACAAGAAAAAAGTAAAATATAAAAAAGACTAGTGTACTAATATAACACCCCAATTCAATACAAAAGATGAAGGATCAATTTTCTTTATGTCGATAGCATTTAAACGGCCTTCACCAATTATAACAGAATATTGTCTATAGTTTGCCCGTCAATGTAGATGGTCCGCTTATCCTCACTGTTTTTAAATTCTCCAGAAATCTGTTAGCAAAAAAATATATAATCACTTATCGTAAAACTATAAAGCTAAAAAGGAAATATTTTTCTGGGATATGTTTTCCTGTACTATCCGGCTTTCGCCAAATTAGTTCATTACAAAACGAGCTAACGGAAGAAACTTTCTTACTCACACCTCTCTCCTGTTGCGTTAATGTTTACGCACTCGATTGACAGTCTAACTCAAGGCACATTTGTCTACAAATAATTTATTTCATGAGATGTAATTTGGTTATTAATTCTATTTACGTTTGGACTTCTCTCACGCAAACCTCAGAATTTCATTACAAGCATATTGAGGATATTGAAAAATTCTTCAGGTTTCCGGTTTCAACGGAATTTATATGAAACAAAGGAATGCATGATATGTGTTATTCCTCTGGATTTTGCCTCAAACAGTCAAACTACAATCGATGTACATCTTTAATTTCTAAAGAATGTTTTTATTCATTTGTTTATAACTGAAAGATTTTAACAATATTTATTTAAAAAAGGTATTTTGGAAAATATTTTTGCTTTTCGTAGTGTAGACACGGTAAAAAAAATGCAAATACAGTGTAAAACCTTCCAAGAAATCAACAAATCATTCTTCCGTGTTGAATTTGTTAGTTTATGTTTCAGGTTTTAAAAGTTATAAGTACAAATAATCTTTATGATTTGCAAGGAAAATTCTAAAGTCATAAAGTGGTAAAAGCATAATTTTAAAATGGTCTTCATTCCGGCGAATAAAAAATATTTTCCAATACTATTTATCTAAATTTTCTTCTTAGGTGTCTGATATGACCAGAGAGAAACTGATAACTAGGAGATGGCTTATTTATTATTATTTATTTAATTTTAACTATAATTGATTATTTGGAATTATCTCTTTACTATTTCGTTAAAATGCATTGATTTTTTCAATAGTTTGCGAAAACCGAAGACTAAATGGCGTTAGTTAGATTAAACTCGAAATACCTACATGCGACGTTAGAAAAGCATTCATGTATTGTCAAAGTGTCAAAAGGACATACAAGGGAACATTAACTATTGTTCTGAGAATTTTAGACTGTACAATTTGGACTCTGTTTCTCTAAGACTGAAGCACTTAGCGGTTCCATACAATTCTAGTTCGTTAATAAGGGAGCTAGCAGGGCAATGTGTAATCTGGTTTTGTTTGCTAATGTAAGTTTAGATCGCTTTCCAAGTAGTCTTTTTAGCATTCTGAATCTGGTATGTATTTAAATGTTTACTTTTGAGTTTTCTATGGGGAGTCCATGTAAGGAGTTTGTTGAGTAACAGTATTGTACGTGGTTCTCATCGAGATTAGGAAGATTATTGAATAGAGGAGGGAGATTTTTTTTGTTAAGGATAAAAACAATGTACTTAGATTTAGTTTCTTCAATCTCGATTACCAATTGGCGTAGCAAGGATTAAAGCATGTGTAAGCGATTTTGCAAATTATGTGAAACTGTAACAGAATCTTTATTGGAGGTGAGTATTTATGTGTTACAATTGCAAGTTAATTGCAAATTAACCTGTCCCAGTGAACTCAAAAATGTTATTGTCAAACTAAAAAATAATAAGTCCCCAGGTATAGATGGTGTAAGCCATAAATTCATAAAAAACATTTCTAATAAAAGCTTAATACACTTTACCAAAATAATTAATTACATATTAATGTATGGTTATTTCCCCAAAATTTGGAAANGAGAGAGAGAGGGAGAGGGAGAGGGAGAGAGGGAGAGGAGAGAGAGAGAGAGAGAGAGAGCGAGAGGCAGGCAGATAGATTTCAGAAATTCAGTGAATTAAAAATCAGTGTTCCATTTATTAGTTCACCTTTTTTTTACGAAATAACAAATGTCTTGTGAAATTATGTAAATGGTATTAACAAGGTCAAATCAAAAGCCTAGAATAAAGTAGCAGCAGCAGGTATTGGGGGAAGAATACCTATGTTGATATGTTGCAGTGAATTCACAGAATAGTAAACATTCACTCTCCCGGTATTAACCAGTGAAATTAACGCCAGTCTAGCCAATTTACACTGTACCCTGCACTTGTATTCTTTATTTTCAATATTTTTAGTTATTTGTACAAAACAATAATTTGTAAATTACCACCATTGTTTAGACGTTAAAAAAAATGTTCGTTTTGTGTTTTAAGTCAATGTTTTTATGAAGTTTAGCGCCCTTTCAGAATCAATCGTCGGATTGTGGGCACGTTGCCACACCGTGGCCGAAATATCATTTGTCTTGATTGTCACTCTTAAACAAGACGTATCTCCCTTTTTTTTTCTTTTGGGTAACTCTCATGACTACTCGTTCCTATCTTTGAGGATAAGCAGCAGCTAATGAGACGAACGTCAATAAACGAAGCTTATAACATTATCTGCTATTCATATCTCCTTTCATCAATCTTTAAATTCTAACATTGAAAAATGACTCTGTATTTTGATCTATTGCAGAAATCAAGTGGTTTTATTAACCAACTCAAAATCTGCAGCTTCATCCAGGTGTATATTTCTCATCTGCGCTAGCGTGATTGTCACATAGACGTGACGTGATGCCTTATGCAGGAAAATGATATTGTTCCGAAAATATTTTTGTTCAGCACGTAATTACAGCCCAACATCAGTTTATGTGAGAAACTTGTTCGTCGACAAAGTTATGGGAACCCACCCTCTCCGAGTGGCCACGTCGTTTGTCAGATTGTCGATTTCTATCTGTGGAGTCATATCAACTGTAAAATTCACATCCGTCTCACTGGCTTTATAAACCAATTGCAGTTTGCTGTAGAAAAATGTTGTATTTCACGCTAGTGTCACTGAGAAATGTTCAATGGGACTGGAAAACTTGCCGTAATCGGTCTATATGGTCTTGTAAACCTATGCTAAAAACTGTAACTTAATCCGAGGTAAACTGTACAAATCTTGCTGTTTAGTTTTGTCGTCTTACTTGCAATACTCCTGCTGGGCTACACCAAATACTCTTAACTTTTTTCAGTTCGTTTGTAGATCGCGGGAACATATCCTCTGTTTCCGGGAATCAATGTCCGTTACGATTGCGCCAGTTAAATGTTGAACTTTAAGACCTTCGTTTTTAAAGACTTATTTATTAGATTAAATAATTACAGTAAGAACTTAGAAACTTAGACCGTTATTAGGAAGATTCCATTACCAAGGTACTGGGACTGCAGTGGGATCTATCAAGGATTGTTTATCATACAAAATCCAATCACGTTCCCTTATCTTTACCAAACGCGGAATAATGTCCATGATTGCCCGCATTTATGATCCACTGGGGTATTTGGCGCCCGTAGTATTTAAGGCAAAAACTATCCTACAACACTTGTGGAAGTTGAACTTCGAGTGGGATGAAACGATTCCACATAAACTCACCCAAGAATGGTCGGCATTCTTTGAGGAATTGCCTGCACTTGGAAATGTGACCATATCAAGGTGCATTTTTCCAACTGAACCCCGATACATCGATATCGTGGGTTTCGCAGACGCTTCAAGTGATGGTTACGCCGCAGTCGTATACTTACGAATTGAGGATTGTACCGGGAAAATCCGCACAATCTTAATCTTTGAAAAAACAAAATTAGCTCCCCTCAAAGTGCAAAGTATCCCGAGATTGGAATTGTGTGCGACTTTGTTACTTGTTAGGTCATTGGAAACTCTTAATCCCTTTCTGAACCGCATCATCACGCGATGTACCTACTTGTTGACCGACTCGACAACAATTCTTTCCTGGATCCATCTACCTGTTTACCGCCTCAATACCTTTGTTGCAAACCGCATCGCTCTCATCCAAGACTTGCCTTATCTTATACGTATCCACAGAGAGTAATGCAGCTGATATTGCATCCCGAGGATGTTTACCGAGCAGACTACTCTCCGCTGAAATGTGGTGGGATGGACCACAGTGGCTACGACAACCCCCAGAAACATGGCCAGTAGCGCGTTGGAAAACTGTTCTGAAGTGGCTGATCTTCCAGAGATAAAAGTAGAGAAACTTTTTATGGCCACAGATAATGGTGGTGGCCACTGGTAATGTTGACATTCTAGAACTCATTAATAAAACATCGTCATATGAAAAACTAACACACATCATAGCCTATTGTCAAAGATTTATACGGAATTGTAAGATAACGACTAAGGTAAAATCCTCTTATTTGACACTTCATGAAATTCGAACCGCTACGCAATCCATTATCATTGCAGTTCAAAAACAACATTTCTCCGCAAGCACCGCTTTTTCAAAATTAAAATCCTTATCACCTTTCTATGATTCCCAGGGTATTCTTAGGGTGGGCGGACGTTTAAACAACGCACCCTTAACAGAAAACGCTCAAAACCCTATCTTTTTGCCTCGTCGAGGCCATTTGGTGGAACTGCTTGTCGACCACCTTCACGAAGTGAACTTACACGCCGGACCGCAATTGCTACACGCCATCATACGTCAACGATATTGGATAATATGTGCCAGACGTTAGATTAGGACTCGAGTTCATAAATGTCTTCGCTGTCATAAACTACGTGTGAAAGGATACACACCATACATGGGAGAACTACCGTCGACACGATTTGGACAAGGAAGTGCTTTCATCAACGTCGGGGTTGACTTCGCAGGCCCATTTTACATACGAGAGTCAAAACGAAGAAAGGCTGTAATAGTAAAAGCATATATTTATCTATTTGTCTGTATGAGCACCAAGGCAGTCCATTGTGAAGTGGTCTCCGATTTGTCCAGCGACGCTTTCTTGGCTTGTTTAGATCGTTTCCTTGCACGACGCGGTCTACCAAAATGCTTTTTTCGGATAACGGAACCAACTTCGTGGGTGCCCACCGCCAACTTAAAGAACTTCATACATGGTGGAATAGTCAACAAGTCCAGGATCGCTGCGTCAACCATCTCAACAAAAGAGAAATCCAATGGTCATTTAACCCCCCACATGCGCCTCATTTCGGCGGACTTTGGGAAGCGGGTATAAAGGCATTTAAAAGTTACCTTACGCGAGTTTTAGATCAACATCCGCTTACATTTGAGGAACTGAGTACGATCGCTAGTCGAATAGAAGCCCTTCTCAATTTCCGTCCATCACATCCGCTATCTTCTGATCCAGATAACTTCGACATTCTTACACCAGGACATTTTCTTATAGGCGCTCTTCTATGCTTCAAGCTGGAATGGGCCATTACAGAGATTCCCAGTACAAGGCTCTCCTGATGGGAATTTTTAAAGCAATGTACACAACGCCTCTCGAAGAAATGGAGAAGGGATTATCTGCACAATTTACAACAGAGAGGGAAGTGGACAAACCCCGAAACCAAAATCGAAGAAGGGACGCTGGTCCTACTACGAGACGATAACGCGCCACCGCTACATTGGCCACGAGGACGAGTAATCCACTGCCACCGGTCAAGATGGAATAACAAGAGTTGTCAAAGTAAAAACACCAAAAGTCGTCTATACACGCACACTGCCCACTCTGTCATCCCAAATGACTTGGGAGACGGATCCGAAGTGTATTGAAAAACAATCAATCTGGAGCCGTGTGAGGTGGTAATCTTAATTTGCGTGGTTGCAGAAAACGTGGGCATAACTTTTCCACCCCTAGTGCGGGAATTTTCCTGTAAATTTTTGAATTGAGAGAGGATCCTCTTCTCTGGTAGGAATGTTATAGTTATGAGCTTTTTTGATGCCTGATCAAGCTTTCATTATAAGGATTGAAGCGATGAGGGTTTATATGGTGGCCAGGTTTCCAAAGCCATGATGGTCAAAGTTGAGGTTTCTCGCTTCGTTATGACACCTTTAGGTTTAGGACTTTTAGGTCTATCTGGATTTTAATTTCAATTTCTGCGTCATCAGAGTCAAACTAAATGTTTGGCAAAATGTTTTATAATTATTATTTTTATTATAATTCCCGCCTGTGACACAAATTTTTCATTTCGAAAAATCGTGCATAATTAATGAAATAATAATAAATTTTTATTTCGCCATAATGGAAAATACGAAAAATAATACAGATTTTAAAATTCTAACTCGAATAATAAAACAAAAATAAAAAATTAGAGAACATAATTATAAAAGTAATTTGATGTTCTTCCATTACACCCTGATTTTCATAAGAATAAATACTTGTGTCGGATAGCAGGAGTTGTACGATTAATTATGTCGTTTTATTATAATAAAGCAAATTAAAAAAATTTTAATTAAAAAAAGACTAAGAACCTTAATCTGTTTAGACAAGAATGTACGATTGTATATTTTTTTGTAATTTACTACAGTTCTATTTTTATCAGTATTATTTTTTACAAGGGTTCGCAACAGAAGAGGGCAGATTAACCCTTGGGGTGTCCGTGTTTTTGAAAAAATAAAAAAAATAAAACCCATTTGTAAATATGAAGAACCTTTACCCTTTACCTTACAGTGGATGGGCGCCCCGTCAACTATCTGAAGTTACTGATATTAATTATATGTCAGTACATATATTTTAGTACCCTGTTATAAGAAAAATTATAGCATTTAGTTGTATTTATTTTTGGTAAATCATGCAATAGTTCTATCTTGTGTTATATAAGCTCACGGATTTATGAAATAATTTATATTAAAACAGACATGAACATTTTACAAATAATTGTTTTCAATTCCTTACGTAGTAGCTTTGTGTTTTATATTCGTGGTTTATTTAAAAGTATTTTTATTAATCAATTTTGAGTGACTTTTAGGGCGGTTATATTCTTACTAGTTCATTCCCACATCGTAATACCATAACATAATGTGGATTGTGCTAATGCTAAATAAACTAATTTTAGAGCAGATAAAGGTAAAATGTTTCTAAGAAAATTCGAAATTAGTAAAAAAAGATTTCTGATTCTCGTTACCAATGTTTCGATGTAAAAATTAAACTTTATATGTCGGTCCAGCATTACGCTTAAGTATTTTACTTTAATTACAAAAGGAAGATTGCAAAATAATTTTATGTTTGTTTAAATATGGTATGTGTTTTAATGAAAAGGGCATAACGTTAATTTTTGTAAATTTAAAATCTGAAAATTTTGATCAAGCCAATCTTTATTGTATAATTTTATATTAAAAAATTCTTTGTTAATGTAGTTAATAATCTCATTTTGCTGAATTAATAACAGTAGTGTCATCATCATAAGTGAAGATCGTTAATGCAAATAAGGAAAAGATAGGACCTAAAACCCTATGGTACACCACATTTAATTGATAATAGTATACAGCAAGATCAAATCCTGAGAACGGTATGATTTAAAAAGATTAAAAGGAGTTCCATTGATGCCAATTTTAGCTAACATTTGATTAGTATTGTATGCACAACAGAGTCAAATTCTTGATGTAAAAAAATCTTCAACTTTTTTTAGCATCAAATCTGAGCCATAAATACAATAAATGAGTTCTATTTTAATCTGTCACTAAATGATTTTCTGGTGTTTTGGTGAATTTCTTTCATCATAATTAAATAATTTTTATTAAAATTCACGAATATCTGATGCCGTTTAATTTGGCTGACATTAAAATAGGTATGCTGTAATTAATATAAAGGTAAAAATACTGGTAATGGGTATAAGTGGAAAGTATTTGTAACCAAAATAAATAATGAAACGAAAAAAAAAAAAAAAAAAAAAATGGAGACAGCTTCTTGTCGCATCGAGGAGTGCGGGGGAACGAAGATATGGAAAGGACGGTTGTGAGAAGAGCCTGGGAAAAAACGGGAACCCTTTACTTCGAGTCCGCCAAAAATGTCGACAATCGGTGAAATTCGCCACCACGATCGCGAATATCATTTTTTTTTCAAACGGAGAGTTGTGTCTGCACAACACGTCGAATTCGGGCCGAGAAAGGAAAAGGGATAAGCCCAACGACCAACGGCACAACACCATCCGATTATATCCCTTCACCAAATCTCAAACAAGTACGAACAAAATAAAAGTATACTAACATATATTTTGAATATATATATATATATATATATATAATTTTTAACAAACAACAAAATACGGGTGTCCTTTTTTTGTCTTTCAGTGTATAAATGCATTCAACTTATACAGGAAGCGGAAAAGCCTGGTATGAGACCTTGTATTTATCCATATAAAGGCCAGCAGATATCTTCCGAAACGTCAGTTTAGAGTTACTTTGCGCTATGCGATAAATAAATGTTTTGTGCCAGAAGAAGGATCTGTTGGCCGATGGCCAGTCTTGGATCGCTTGGATCCAAAACGGTGTTTATTGTCTTTTTCTTGTGTTGTTCTCTTCCTCGAAATACGAAATACCTAATTAACGAATTGTTTCTTGTTGCAGAAATATGCAGGTCACACGAGATGTTCCCCTCTGACGACAAGATCAGAACTGACCCGTCTTTGGACAGAACGATACTAAGTGAGTTAATTTTGTTTGCTACATTTGTATTTATCGCTTAACGATTTCAGAGTGGTTGATTTTATTTTCATTTTGGATAGATGGATTATTTTCTAGGGATTATGTAAGGCTTTTCACTTCTCCTTTCAGTTGAGCATTTTCCACAGTGAGTGCATTTACTTTCCCTGTGGCCTGATGTACTTGAGTAAAAGTTGATTCGCTGATCGCATACTTAATTTTGAGCTCGGTGGTTAAGGCGATTAGGGTGTGCTGGGGGCCAGCGTGACTATGGTTTCCTTTATTTTCCATTAATCTTAGTCTTTGAGGTATGGGCATTTCGTCCATTCCTTCATCACTATGTGCTTTCGATTCTGTTTGGTTTCTTTTTCTTTTCATAAACCTATCCTCATCGGCCCACTGCAGGCTGCAACCCAATCTAGGTTGTCTTGGAATTTTTCGACTGAGCTAGAAGTAACTTCTCCTCCCCAGCATTTGTTCATGGCTGGGAAAGATAAGTCCCGGAGGTTGCGCCTTGCTTCAAGAATTCCTGATCTCATTTTCTCGTGTTCTCTGAACGTTTTGTGCGAAATTTTTACCCAAATGCTAACCATTATTTTCAACTCATTAATTCAAACTCATATTAAGTCGGAGACAGGCTTACATCATTATGAGTTTAACAATTAAAAATTAAATCAATAATTAAATGATTTAAATTAAATTTTGTAATAATAATTAACTTACGACCAAAAGTGAAATATTTCGTTCCTTAACTTGAAAACACTTATATCAATTAACAGTAAAAAAAATAGTAGTTTTCTTCTAATGTCTCACCCTTTAACTCATTACTATTTTGTTTTATTTACATATATGTTAATGTTCTTATTGGGCGTTAAAATTATTTTTGTTCGTTGTTAATATGTTTTTACATTGTTGTCAATTTTTTGGGGGAAGCTACCGACAATGAAGTCATATCAGCCTCCAACGCACTCTGGACGCCGATGGGGTCATTCCCACAAACAACCGACTATATACACAAACAAACAAATATATACATACATAAACACTGAAGAGCTACTCATTTATATATGATATTTATAATATTTACATGGGGAACACCCCTGTTTCCCTTAAAAATCGGAATAGGGGACCCAACAACCCACTTTTATGCCGAAGTACTGTCATTTTGTCGGGTGCCATGTCTACTCGCTCCCTGTAAAGAGCCAAGGCGCAGCACTCGACCAAGTCTGTCAGATTGAGCAATATTTCTCTACAAGCGGGACACCTGTGCGGGATTTTCCCCAAAAGCAGGTGTCTGGGTGTCAATCGGGCATACTCAAACGAGTGAGCACGATCCCTCCTTGCGTTTCAGAATCTCGGCGAGCCATCCGTCAGTCTCGCTCTTGACAAGCAAGGACTTCTCGGACGACCCGGCCCATCTACACTTCCAACGTTCTTTCGATGCGTTCTTTATTGCTCGTACAGCGTCACCGGGTCTGACTAGGTGATTCTGTCTGGAGAGCACGTCTGCACGCTGCCTAATCTTCTATTAGATTTGTAGCGGGAGTATGATTGACATGTCTGAGGACGGAACTCCTCAACAGTATTGGAAAATGGTCACTCAAGTTGGAGACCTCTAACGGAATTGAGTTACCAGGGACGGTGATACTATCGACAGTATAGTCGATTGCGCTTCGTTTAGTGGTTTTCAGTTTTATAAATATGTGTACTAGCGCGGGTGTTTAGGAGAATCAATTCTGCTTCATTTATGATGTCCCCTACATCTCTGATCCTAGCATCAGTGTGCTCAGGCCCCCACAAGGGGTTGTGGGCGTTGAAATCACCCAGCAACACGATCGGCGGGATGGTATTCGATCAGGACAGACTTCACTACTCTGCCACGATCCGTCTGGGAGCTGATAGATCGAAAAGTGTGATATGAAGCTACAATCGCCAGTATATATGTCCGTAGTCACCTTACGTGCCTATACATTATTTATTATAAAAATAATGTAAATGTAATATTTTAATGTAAATGTTTTCTAACTCTAATAATTTTACATTATTGTTGTTCCTTTAGTATTTTTACATCCTCCAAATCTGTGCCATGTTCTATTAGATAGGCTGATTAAATCTGTATTATCTATTCTTTTATTTTACATTGTTTGTGTTCGTTTAAGTTTTTATATTACTTTTCTCTATAAAAATTATATTGTTTCTCCTACATATGTTTTTTAAGGGCATTAAATTAAATTAAGTTTATAAACAATTTTTTTTCTTTTTCATTTAGGATTTCTTATGGAGGATAAAATGTGTTTTTGAAAAAAAAAGAAGCCAATTTGTACGTTTGTCGGGACGTTTATCTTAAAGTGATGAGCATCGTGTCGACCCCTTAACCGTTCGGCCACCGACGCCCCATGTACATATATTTATTACTATGTAAAACTTTTAAACATTTCTTCTTTTTTGCACATTTTTATTATTTTTTCATTGAGAACTTCTGCATATATTCATCCTGCATAAATAGTTAAGTACTTCTTCTTGTTCAATTTTTCTCTTTCTTTTTCTCTTTTATTGTTTAAATAAAATTCTTTGTTGTTGTCTTATAATTCTTTCTACAACTTTTTTGGATAATTATGTTTTATTTAATGTTTTTAAGTTACATTTGTTAAAAGGTATGCCTGTTAAATTATATATTTTTCTTACTATTTTTTTAAAAGGGCATTAACCTGTTATCCTACAGGTGCATGGAGAATATATGGTCAGAACTTACAGGGTTTTGCTATAGGTCAACGGCTTTCTTAAAGTCAACTAATAATGTGTCTGTATCTTTTTAATAATAATTATGTTGTCTACATACTTTTTAAGGAATTGAACTGCTTTTGTGGTGTTCAGTAGTTTAAAACATTGATGTTACAACAAGTGATACCTAAGTCCCCAAGTAAGCCAGGTTTTGTACAATATTTTATCATTAAATACAGAGTACAAATTTGTTGCACATTTTTCTAGTATCTCAAAAATGGTTTGGCTTTGTAGGTTTTAATTTTTTTTTAATGTCCCATTTATCTTTTAGACATTGTATTGCTTCTTTTGTAGGTATTGCAGTGGAAATATATTTAATATCTATGCTCAAGAAAATATAATTTTTTTATTTGTTTTAACAAATATCTTAATTCTTTTGAGATTTTTTATAACACCCGTGTATAGTAGATTTTTTATTTAATTGGTTTAGAATTAGTCTGTGTATAGTGGTGAGCTTACTGTATTTATATATCGTAGAACTGGTCTAAATTTATCTTCAGTTCCTTGTATGTACCATGCATTCTTGGTAGCGTCCCTTTTAAGTGTTTTATATATAATATATATATATTTTTTTAACAATTATATTGACTTTTGTATAATTTTTTGCGTTCGTTAATCGATGAGTTCCTGAAAAAGCTAATTTTAACATGATTATTTATCACTGCCAATATTTTAAAGTTAATAATAGCATTGAGTTGTTAAAGGTCAACATGTCCAAACGGACAGACTTATGGTCGATAATTCAGATTTTTAATACAATTTTGGTAAAAAATAAGGTATTAGCTAGACGTCTTTCGGTTTGCAAATGATGATGACAAAAATGGTCAACAAATAATACCAAAACAAAGCAGGCCAGTTTGTACCGTAAAAGGATGCAGGAAAAATAGTAATAATTAGGCACTAAGTCATTAATTAAATAGGTATGACCGAAAGTTCAATAATAAAAAGATAATGTATAACTGTAATTGTGGTAGGGCAAGTCGTAAATGTCGATGTCTCATTCTTTCCTTCTCCCTGTTAACTGAAGATGTTAATTAATTGCCGAAACGATTTTATATCCCGCTTTTTACGAGGATTAAAGGTGATTATTGATTAACTGACCGTATAATAATCGTTTGATCCTCGATGAACGAACTAAATTTAGGGGGAATAATTGTTCGACTAGGGACCTAGTCTAGAATAGATCCGGACAATCCTATGAATAGCAAGGAGGTTGTCCTAAGAATCTTCTACGAAGAATGCGGTGAAGCCAAACAATGACAATTTCTTTTCCTTCAATGTATTCTTTCCGGCATTTGAGCGGTGTTTACAAAGTGCTTGTTTTTAAAACAACAACATTATACTATTACCATTTGTAGGCAAACCAAGACTTTTGAGATTTGCCAGTTTTTAATGCTTATACTATTGTATGATAACTTGTACGAGGTAAGATTTTCCTTGCAAAATATGTAAATATATATTAGAAAAAGATATGCTATTTTATTTAAAATATCTGCAATATATACAGCGGCTCGTTGAAAAGAATTTAACGTTGTGTGACGGTTAGATCTAGCATTAAAGAAGTTAATTTGTGTCTCTTTGGATATGACATTTACAGTTATTGTCGTATGCCTTGCCAAACTCTCTTTCAATTGTATAAATTCCAAGAGAATTGAAATTTTAGAAAATAGTTTGGACATAAATCAGGACCAAAGTGCGGTAGTCTGTTTTCACGTTCGGTTATTTTTACAATGTACTGGATTATGTTTTCGACATATTTTAGCTGTTCTTTAGCATGGAAGCTGTAGCGGTGTCCTTCTCGGTCAGCCTTGTTAAAACCATCCTGTTTCGATTATGGTTTTTAAACCTACAAATCCGGCTCTGAATGAACATCAATTATTTGCAGACTGGTCAACGTGTCTTAGAGAAACTCGTAAGATATAAAGTTAACGTATTTATCAGTGTTTAAAGCCGTTCATTATTAGGTGGATTCTTTGGGCTCCTTAGCAAAGATACTTCAAATTTATGCTAATAATCCCAGCCGTTTTGATAAAAGAAGTAGGCGAAATAAATCAGGCGGAAAGAATTCTTTTTTGTGGAGCCTAAATATTTCGGTTTTATACTTACAAAAATCCCGACATATTTAAGCAGTTTTCATGTTTCTAAAAATAAAGAATCAAGGTTCGGTTTGATAAATAATAAATAATACATACAGTTATTTTTTCAAAACATTAAAGTTGTTTTAATTTGAACACAACTCCCCATGAGAAAGCATAATTAATTAAACGAGTTTCTGTTCACTGACTTTTCATTAATATGTGTGAAACGAAACAAGTTGTATATGGCGTGGAAATAAGATCGAAAGCTGGGTAATGAGTAAAAAAGCACAGCCGTACAGTTGGTACGATTGGCGAAATAGTATTTGTTCTCTAGATAAATTGCTTTGCCTAAAGTAATTTGTTCTAAAAACGCTTTCTTCGTTGTTCTACAGATACTTTTAAAATAAGAGCGGATGAAATTTTCCAGACGAGCGACACTGGTAAAAAGCTCTCAGTATCAAACCTATTTTAAGAAGTGTTTTGATGCGAGGAGGACGGTTTACAATTGTGTACGTTTCCCGTGGACCGGAATAGAGTGACTGAGATGTCTTATAAGAGTGTTGACATTCTCATCTCCCCACCTTTGCGTTCGGTATAAGCTCGATTTAGAAATTTAGAGTATATTTTAAACTACACGATAAAATTAGGTAATATATGTGCGGCTTAAATCAAAGTATTTTTACAGCCAAAACGAAATACTGCTCTTTGAAAATCAACAGCAAAGTTTTGTTTAATAAGTTAGATTATATAACATGTGCAAAGTTTTGAGGACCCGGATGACCGAATCCGCTTTATGAATTACCACGCTTTATAGGGACATATAGAAATGGTTCTTTATCTGCGATACCTCGGGATATCAAGCCATCCTATATGCAGGAATTATTTCAATTTTAGTTAGAAATCGAAGCTAACGAGTTCTTGGAAGATACGAAATTTTATTTAATTTGTTTTCAAACCATTTATTTATTTATTGTAATGGTTATACTCACAGAATTAAGAGAACTCACAGAATCGTGAGGGGCGTTGCGATGTTCACCGATCGCTAAGTAAGATTTAGTTAGCCTGAAGCAATTATAAAATCAAGAACCTGCGATTGTAATAATTAGAGGGAAGGTGCATAATTTAGGGTCGGAATGGAACATAGGAGTGTCTTTACTGAAAATGAGGTCGCCGAATTGTTCGCTGAACAGTCATCGCAGTTCCTCACTCGATAAGACATACAGCAGGTTTCCTACACCCAACCAAGCCTCGCCGAAAAAAAGCCTCTGTGCTCTCTGTGAGTAGAACCTTCATTTTCAAAAAATGAAATGATCTTGTATTCCATCTAGATTTGCTTACATATTCGTCGAATTCACCAAAGATTCTCCAGTAATTCGTAACGAAGCTAAGAATTATGATTTATTTAGAATGCTTTTCCAAAACAATCATAAATTAGATAATTCAAAGTGTAAAAATGTTGTTTATCTTTGGTTGTTTTATTTATGTTTGGATATTTAATTTTTTTTGTTTTTACTTTTGTTACAGATTACACGAGAACCGAGATGTTCTTTTCTGTAGTAAGCGTTTTGTTGATGCTGATGGGCTTTCTTTTCTCAATCTACACTTTCAGAAATCCTCGTTATATGTTCAAGCGGCTGGCGGCCGGAGTTCACTTCTTGTCATGTAATTATAAATTTTGTTCTAAGGCCTTGATAGCCGAGTTTTTTCGCGGCAGACGCTGGACTTATTACAATCGAGTGCTCCTAATTTGTTTTTATATTTTCTAAGTTATATTTAAATATAGGACGAATCTTCCCTTCTTTTTCTAACGAGGCATCAAATGTGGCTTAATGTCCTAAGATAGCACGAACGCAGGACGATTGTTTTGCCAAGAACCTTAATGGTAAGGTTTATTTCCGGAAATATTATTGGGATCCCAAAAGAATATCTTTGTTTTGAAAGGCGACGTTTTACTATTAAACTATTCAAATAATTGAAAAAATAATTAATAAATAGAGATAAATAATATTCCTTGCCAATATGTTAAGTATGTGAGCTGGGTTTAGTGAATTGAAGAGAGCGATTCACGTAGATTAAATCAGTTTTTCACTACCATTTTGGATATTTGATATAACCGCAACTCTCTTATGTCCACCACGTTTATCTTATGAGTTAGGCATTTACGGGCCATGCCCCTGACTCAAAGGATGCTATCTCAGGTTCAATGCTGATTCAATTTTCCTCGAAATTCGATTTACACACTTATTTACAATACATACATAATTATAATCGGCTCTTTCCCTCAGAATGTATTCCTAAATGACTGCACAGAACTCGTTGCCAAATTAGAGACCATTTTTTATTTACTTTAGTAAATTTCGACGCCTCTCATAAAAAATACTTTAGTACTGTATTTTTCGCTGTTGTTTTTAGGTGCATCTGTAATCGTCGTGCTTGAGGTGGTCATCAATTCAATCTATTACGAAAAAGCACATTTGCCTTTCGTGCATCCTAGGAGGGCCGTGTATTATTACGGTTATTCGTTCTACCTTGGCTGGTTGGTCTTCGCCTTTAACGCCGTCGCAAGCATTGCTTTTCTGGTTTATTCGAAGAAAAGGAAAGGTGACAAAGCACTGACCGAAGAAATGGCTATGGCTGACGAGCCGACGATAATTGGAAGATAATACGCAAGTTCTTTAAGAAAAATAATAATAAAAAAAATATAATAAAAAATAAATAAAAGACTTAATATAAGTGCTTCGCAGCGTTTTATTTTAATTTTTTATTTTTTATTAAATAAGAACTTAGTTTTAAGCTTTCAGTTTGTAACAATGGGCTACATATTATGACCATTGCTAGATTTTTTCGTTGTAGCTTTCATTCAAATTATTTGCGTAAATCACAACTATTAATTTTGAATGTCATACTGTCCATTGTACTTTTATATATACTAAGGAAAATCAACATTAATCTTCAACAAAAATACTGATACAATACTATAACCAATTATTTTTTAAATTATGTAAGTGGATTGAGCTCTTCAATTGTAAAACATAATTTTAGGCAAAAACTAGTCAAAACCGTTTAAGTTTAAATTTGGTGCCACAAGCAAAAAATATATTTTTTTTAAATTCCGTGATCTCAGTTACTGTGGAGATGAACGTTTTTATTTAGTCTTTTATATATACTATATAAAATAGAATAGAATATTTTAATATTTTTACTTTCGGATAAAGCGGATTGTTGCGCAATAAAATAAACAAATAAATAAATATATTCCCTATTATTCAACAAAATGTACAAGTTCCTCTTGCTCTCTCTGATTTTGTTTATTTGTGATATTTTTTTAAAAGTTAGTAACTGTTTAGAAAAATAAACTTTATTGCCGAAAAACTAGATAAAAATAAATGTAATTTATAAAAGACATTATTGTTAATTGTTATACACCTAATAAATGTATATAAAAGACCGTATACAATAATTGTTATGGGAATAAAAAACTCATATGTATGTATTACGCAGAAGTAAATATATATTTACATATATATATTTATATTTGTACACATATATATTTTAAGATTTTAAGTTAACATATATTTCAAATGTAAATGTTACTTTATAATAAAGTTTTGATGTGCCATTTTTTATTTTATGCCTAATTGAATTTTAGTCGATCATCAATGGTGGTAGTATTATGGGAATAGTAAGTTAGTCATTTAGAAACCTAATACTTTTAACCAACATTAGGTTTGTTTATAATAAAAAATATGTGTCACACGTCGTAACTGACATTGTAATTAATTAATAAGAATAGTACAACAAATACCTTCTGCGATACAAGTAGTAATGAAATATGTATCTGGTTTAATCAGTGTTATAAAAGTACAAAGAAGAAAGAAGCTATCTCAACACAATGGCACAATTATACAGAAGACAAACACTTTGAGCCCTGAAGATTCTCTCAATAAAGATCGAAACGTGGGCACGATAAAGCAAATGTTTTTCTGAAACCTACATCACACCAGACTGCATCTCACGATTTCTGAATAATTCTAGCTTTTGAGATAAACCAGTGAGTATAAATGTACACCCATTTACCACTGACCTTGTGAGTTATCTTGGACTTTTCATGGATAAACGTCCGATATGAATCCCACACAAGACTGAAAAGACAAGAAACAAACCGACGTTATAAATTATTAAAAAGACTACTCACTATCAAAATTAGACATTGAACACAAACTTGTAAGACAATGATAAGACCTCTCGGTGTACGGTTGCGAAGTGTGGGGCTTAACCGAGAATTCCATTTACCAGCGTCTCCAATCAATTCAGTCTACAATTCTCCGTCAGATTATAAATGTTCCTTTTTTTATATTTCAAATTACACTATTCATAACGTCCTACATTCCGTTTGTCCTTGTTAAAACCTTCTATACAAACATTTCATCAATCACTAAACATTCCCCATAATCTGTTAGTACGACGGTTATCCCTTCAAGCCCTACCCGAAAACTCTCCAAGACATTTGAAGCGAACGTGTTTCCGAGACCTTCTCATTGAGTAGAAGATTGTCAAGGTTTCAGTGTGAAGAAGTGTGTTCACTGGGCGACTTCTCCTCAGGAGACTCAAATGACAAATTCAGCATATATGAAAATATTTACTTAATACTATATTTGTGTTGTAAATTTCAAATAAATGTATTAAAAAATAACTTCATAGTTCAGAATGACATTAAAATGTAGGGTTATTTGATTAATGTTTAAAACATTTAATTTTTGATATTTAACCAATAATAACCAATTAATTTAATTACCTGATAATTTTGTACTATGTAACTACTTTTGTTTAAATTATAAAATAAATAGTATTGAAATATGCCATATTAATCTAATTTAAGGAATGTTCATTCTTGCGTAGGTAGCACCTTTTTTTAAACTTTATATTTTTTTTCTTTATTTTGTTTATATACCATAGCGAAAGAGAGAAAAGTTATTTCTCTCTAGAGATGAGATGAGTTAATCTTTGAACGTTTGCAAACATACAATGATAATTAATTGTTTCAGATAGAGATTACTTTAGTTTACTTATGTCTTTATGCATATTACATATATTGGAAAAACGAATGTGGGACAAATTTCGTTGCGATACGAAATTTTAGAGCAGTGAGTTAAAGTTCTATACCACTGCAAGGACCTGATCCCGGTAAGCTTATATAACGAAAATAACCTCGGTTTTTGGTATATTTCAACAACTTGTTTATATCTGGCAAAACAATGCCTCTCGCCAAACGCGTTTTTAAGACCCGTAAATCATTCAAGAACGGATTGAAAAGGCCAAACTTCGCCTCCGTTTATTATGTAAAGAATTTTCTATGACTTGCTTAACTTGGCCCTTTTGTGTGTACTCACATTTCAAGTATTAGCCGGTCAATAAATTAAATGTGGTCAAACGTTTTGAGTCCCTTTAAGTTTACATATATAATTTCAAAATAATCACTCAATTATTAACGTAAAAATTAACGCTTGAACTCAGCAAATACAAACTACAAATGAATGAAACTTAAACTGACAGCAGGTGCTGTAAATAATAATTTTTAATGTGTTTTGTTTTCTTTCTTTCTTTCTATTTTTGTTACAGTTGATTTTGTTTTATCAAATTATGTGTATGAAATCCTGTCGGAACTGCATCAAGACTGGGAAGAGGCATTAAGAGAAAGAACACCTCGGAACTGCATTTCAATCAGCTCAGCAACTTTGTTATTTCTTCTTCATCTGGTAATATGAGCCACTGGATCTGATCATACAGTTCCACACTATTGCTCAAATGGTTAAGCATCTATAATAGTCTCCGGCGGCACATTATTTCTCTTGAGATGAACGCTGCTTCCTTCTTCCAAATCTGACAAATTTTTCGATTGAACGATTTCGATGCAATTGACCACACCGTTGTTTCAGTGTATATAATTTGAAATTGTGCACGATTTTGCACGACCGGATTGTCAGTCTTGGCTCCTTGACCTATCTTGGGGATTGGGGGGGGGGTCTGGCTCCAGGATCCATGTAGATTGTAGATTGCACTGTTGTCGTCCAATTCAGTTCTCAGTTACACGTCTTGAGGCCTTGCCCCTAAATGGGAATTGCATCCGTTAGGTTGGCGACCTGCTTTGAAGAACCGACCTTATAAACGTTTCATTGAACCGATGCAAGTGCAATAGCTCATAAGATTGGAAAAACAAAGCGTTTATCGTCGCGTCAAAGCGTCTCTGTGCACTTTGCTTAGAAAAGCCTTCATTCAACACCTGCGTACTGGACAAATGGATTCCTAGATGAAAACAAATGCATTATCTCATTTTGTACAAATCTTTACTATTTTTAAAGCTACTTTGAAAAAACTAAATAATAAAAATCTTTTCTATTTTTAAAGCTACTTTAAAGCTACGTGGTTTGCTCTGATTCAGGATCGGCCTTACATGCCTTGGAACACCCCTATTCAGATGATCCTGGTGTGCAGGAGGTGCTGGCGTCACTGGGGAGCCTCCAACTGCAGGGAAAGAGCGTTTACTTCGTCTGGGTTCCTGGACATGTAAATATTAAAGGAAACCATTTGGCAGATGAAGCTGCAAAAGAAGCAGCCATTACAGGCCTTCAAATCAGGAACGTTCCAAAGGGTGATATGACTGTAGTTTACAAGTCAAAAGTTAAGGGTCAATGGGAACAGGTCTGGATTAACATATCTGAAAACAAACTACGGGAAATAAAGAACTCTGTAGATGCGTGGCCTACTTCATTCAGAAATAGTAGAAGGGAAGAAGTGGTTCTTGCACGGTTGAGGATTGGACACTGTAGAGCCACTAAGGGTCATTTGATGGGGCGAGAGGCACCTCCAATTTGCGGAATGTGCAATCAAATCGTCACAATCAAACATATACTTATGTCATGCTCATTATATGCAGCCCATAGACGTCTACACTCCTTGCCTATAAGCATCCAAGAAATGCTAGGCGACAACAATGATAGTATACGTAATTTGTTTGATTTTCTCAAATTAGTAAATCTACTCGACAAAATATGAGCTCATACTGTTTGTCCTTCTCTATATATACAAGATCAGATATACAAAGATACATAATATAGAATAAAGATAATAAGATAACAATAATTATTAGTGATGATAATAATAATAATATAGAATAAAGATAAATAAATATAGATAGATAAATATATTAGGTCGACCGTCCGCGTGGGTAGCTTTAATCTGTATGCCTCTTTCTATCTATTAGATAATAAGTTAGTCATTGGGACAATCATGACCCTTAGTAAAAAAAATTAAAAAATAATAATCAAAAAAATAATAAAAATAAATAATAATAATACGATATGACATAGAATCGACTGTGTAGTAATCGATTATTGTTTTATTTAGCTTGTAACCAGCGTGATCATGTTTTCAGTGTGTTGTTTTCTGTATTACATGTATATCTTATGCTAATTAAAGACTTAATTTCTCATAAGGTGTTTTCAATTATAACACGATATAAGCTCCTATAATCATCGTTCAAAGATGGTGAATATGGTTAGGCATAGGTTATTTTTGGAAGACGTTTTATTTCACTTTTTTGTACAAAGACATTTTATTTGTTCTTCTCTAATTGGCTCATTAAATTAATATTTATTTGGCACATTTTTTCAACTATTATGATTAATTAAATATGATTTGTTTTAAATAAAAATGTTATTTATAGCTTTATTGAATTTAATGTGTGTTTCTTAGTGGCCTGCTTTTTAAAAATTTGTTGAAGTCGTGAGGAGGTATTGTAAACCATACCAAACAAATAGAAATACTAAACAAGGAAAACAATAAATACAAACGCAACTTTCTAGAAATGGTTTATATTAACAAAGACATACACAACATTAATTTCAGAACAGATACATGCAAACGCCATAGCCACGCCAACATCATAAAACAAATAAACTATTAAACCTTAATTTTATATTCCCCTTTCCTTCGTTATCGTCCTTAACTTCCTTTCCAATATTGAACGCCGAATCACAAAACCAATCCAGAAAATCCCCATTCTCGACTTCCTTTGAGTTAAATAAAACCGCCTATGATCAAACAAAAGTTCCCAGATTTACCGCGTCCCCTACCCTGTCACAATCATATAAAAACAGCAGAATACAAATTCACAATACCAATAAGACACCTCAAAAATAGCACCTCACTTTATGTGAGTACGAAATACTTGGTTTGAAATTTATATTTATTGTATTGTAAATTGTATTTTTTCCAATCAACATGTGTTGAAATTTACCCGGGCCCTGAAGATGACCGGAATAAAGGTCGAAACATCGTCCAAAAATGAAAAAGGTGTTTTTCTAAACTACCACATTCTTGACCGCTCCTCACGACTTCGACAAATTGTTGAATTTAATGTTGTGTAACGTAAATGTAGGAGTTCTGTAAATCTTGCTAGGGCTGACTACCCAATTGGTCAATCGATGATTGGACGTGAAATTAGGTTTTATTTTGTGTAATGGGATTTTTTGTTGTACTTTGGACTCTCGGCCTCTCGGTTCAGCCCCTATCGTATATTCGTCCCAGTTGTTGAACCGTCCTAGTGAACATCTTGAATATTTCAAATTGATTATCTGGTCGTATCACCGGTACTTTCGTCGATGGAACTGTTCCTTTTTCCAAACCATCTTTTCTCTACGATCCTCTATCCCCCTGGAAGACCGTCGGTGAAGAAAAGGGGCAGACGCAAGACAGGTGAGATTTATTTTATTATTCTTTATAATTTTTTCTTTCTGCTCAAATTTATTTTTATTTTATTCGGTTTTGTTCATTTTCTGTTCTTAAATTTAAAATTTCAGAGGCTTTTTGTACACTTTTTCTTGAAACTTCTTATTTGTTCTTCATTCTATCAATAACCGAACTTAATTAATTTTTAAAATACCTTTGAAGGATTAAAAAAGCAATCCAGTCTGCACTAAATTCGACACAAACACGAGTTAGAATATGATTACAACTCAAAGAAAAATAAGGAACAACTTAACAACGCGTCCGATATTTATAACAAAATCCTGCATTATAAGGAAAGGACGAAATTTAAATTGTTTATCTGTTATTTCATTTTAGCATATATACATTTGTGTTAGTGACAAGCAATACTCTTATCCAAGTCATAATATTTCGTAGGACATTAAATTGCCAGAAATTTTTTATTTATTTACTTTAATTGTACAAAATCCTTGTTTGTGAAAGGTACAGGACATTTTATTTTATTCTTTTTTTATCAAAAAGTTGTTACAATTTACTACATCAACAAGGCATTATAAGTAATATATCACAGAAACATATGCTTAGCCATTTGTGTATTTAGTAGTATTGGTGCTAAACTTGTGCCAATAAAGACTTTTTGCTCTTTACTGGCAATATAATGCAGGCTATTGCGAATTTGATGAATCACGCATAGAGGTCTGTCTATCTGCAGGAAAATATTGGCAATGGTTTCTGGAAAGCCTTTTAATCCGTCAACACGGGTGATTAAAATATCTTGTACACTGTGGTTAAGTAGGTTAGTCAGCAGATTAAGCTAATGATGTTCCCCTGTTTTAAATACATCCAGCCCTAACAATTCACAGAGCAGTGAAAGTCATTTATTTTATAATTAAATATATTTCTAATAAACTGATTAGTACTGGTCACACTAGTAGTAGTACTGGTACTAAGCACCCCTGTTCAAACCTTTTTGTTAGGGTGTATATAAAAGTAAAAATATTTGTATGTTTAATAAATTGTGCATATCTGGCATGTCTGGAATTATCCACCTTGGATAACCTCCTATAATTCTCAGTGCTGTGTTCTGCGCTACCTGCAATTTATTATAATTTGTGGCATATGCACTAGACAATATAGGGCATGAGTAAGTGGTTACAGGCCTAATATATAGCTTAAGTTTTTATTATTTGTACAGAGGTGATTTTTTTAATTAAAGATTGGAAATAAGTGATTCATTGCTCTTAGAGCAGCAGAATATATTTTTCTATATGATAGCCAAAATTTAATTTTTTTTCCAAGTGAATGCCAAGGTATTTTACATTACTCGGCCATAGAATGATCTCAATAGACCTTACATAGAGGTCCAATTGTGGTCTTCTCTTAGTAAACGAGATTGTCTCAGTTCTTCTGCTATGTGGTTTAATTCTCCATTTGCTTAAGTTATTTGAAGCATTTCTCAACAGATAGCGGTTGTTCCTTTTGTATCAATATGGTAGGAGGATCGTACTAATGCTGTATCGTCTGCAAACAAGGCCAAATCTATGCATATGCTAATAGAGTGGGGGCCAGCCCAGAGCCTTGTGGAATGCCTGCTCCAATATTCCTTAAGTAAGACCTCCCAAGGCTTGGACTTTCCTGTTTGATTGGTAGCTACTCATTATGTGCACAAATTTTTTTGGAAATTCCAGCTTCACCTTCCAGGAATTCTAGTTTGACCTCTAAGACCTCTATGCTATTCATAATCGAAGGCATTTTCAATGAGTACTAAAGCCATACAGATGTATTTGTTCATATTAAAATTGTCCGTGGCAAGATGCATGGTAGAAGGATGATTTGGCCTAAAACCAAATTTATTGATAATAAATATTAATATTATGTTATTGGGCATTAAAATTATGTTCATTCCGAACATTTAATATTCTACATTGCATTACTTTTTGAGGAATTTTAAGAGGATAGTAAGTACGAGATAGGTCTATAAGTGGTAGGTAAGGTATGAGCTTTGCTGGGTTTTGGAACAGGGATAATTTTTGCTACTGCTACTGCTACAAAATATGAATAAACATAAATATATTAAAATTTAAGGGTGGTATGTTAATTTTGTCCATATATGTGGTTATTAGTGACCGTTAATCGATAATTATTCAGAAATTGTGAGATGCGGTCTGGTGTGACGTAGGTTTCAGAAAAAATTTTCTTTATCGTGCCAACTTTTCGATCTTTATTGAGATCATCTTCAGGGCTCAAAGTGTTTGTCTTCTGTGCAATTGTGCCATTCTTGCGTATCGTGTTGAGAGTGCCAGTCCATATAGATAAAATTTAGATTTACTATGCAAAGTATGGTTGAGTTGAAAATGAGTGTAACTAGCGGGAATCAAGTACAAGAACTCCGGATCACTATCCAGGCCAGGACATTTATCTTTGATTAGTTGATTGGGAATAAAAGTTGATAGCTCAAGTGGTTAGAAGCGTAGTAATGCAAAATGTGGTGGTACTGATCTGGAGGTTGTGAGTTAGGTGTTCCTACTCGTGACACAAATTTTTCAACTCCATGGTACTTTGCATGGTAATTTAAGTAACTTAATTAACTTTGGTTAATAGGGCCAAATAAAAAGATGTAATAGAATTTACTAGTGTGTTCACTTTTAAAATGAATGCATAATTAGGAGGATTATGATAAGGCGAAATAATTAATCTTAAATAATCTGTTGAAGTAGTGGAGGTGGTCAGGAATAGAGTATTTTAGAAAAACACCTTTTTTTTGCCATTTCGACCATGATTCGGGTCATCTTCAGAAACTGATTGGAAAAAATAATTGAACCCTGTGGATGTAATGTAATATAAATTTTGAACCAAATATTTCATACTCACATAAAGTGTGGTGATATTCTTGTGGTGTCAAGTTTGTTTCGTGTGAAATTGTTGTGAAATACATTATTGAAAAAATTATTCAACACCGGCTACTAAATAACACAAATTAATCTTAAAGGTGGGATGAATGTATATTTAGATTGTTGTGCCAGAAGTGACAAGTAATAAGATTACAAGGAATCCATTTAACAGAGTCTATTATTTCAATAAAACCTAAATAATTATTTAACTGGAATATCAATAAATTTAAAAGACGATTTGAAATAAATATTTAATTAATGCAACACTTTAAGAAAGGAAGTTTAATTGTAGATCTGTATATATTACGCCCATGATTGTTGTAAGTGCATGATTGTTTGAAATTCTTTAAAGAAAATTATTATTAGCTTAAAATATTAATTTATTCATTTCAAAATTTTGTTTTGTTAAATTTTGAAGAATTTTTAAAGGTAGTATTTAACTGTATGTTAATTAATGACTGGTTAAGGGTGGTAACACACACATACTATAATAAAACAATATAATATTTTGTTGAAGTCGTGAGGAGCGGTCAAAAAAGAGGTAGTTTAGAAAAACACGTTTTTTTATTTCTTTACCGCCGACGTTCCGACCTTTATTCAGCTCATCTTCAGGGCCTGGGTAAATTACAATACGTTTCACAACACTTTCACACAAAACCAATATGACACCACGAGATTAGCACCACACTTTATGTGAGTATGAAATACTTGGTTCAAAATTTATATTTACATCTTAAATTTTTTTTTCAATCAAAATATGTTTTGTAATTTACCCAAGCCCTGAAGTTAATCCGAATAAAGGTCGAAACGTCATCAAAAAATAAAAAAGGTGTTTTTCTAAACTACCTCATTCTTGACCGCTCCTCACGACTTCAACAAAATATTGTAGTGTTTAAATTTCATTCGCTTACCGCCTTTGTAAAAGAGGGAGAGTGCGTTGTAACGTTTGGGGGTACTGATGATTTGTCAAGATCACCAGCTGTGATAACAATTAAGCTTTATTTTCTAGACTTCAATAATAATATCTCGTTGAATCGAAACAGTTAAGAGCGATGTCGAGTGTTTGTTTAAACGGATCGACGGGCTTTTCTGTATGATTGAAACACGTCGATATAGTCGAAAACGATGGATAAGAAACAACTTTGCGAAATCCTTTTCAAGTGGCTCCAGAGTTTCAGTGTGGAGAAAAAGTTTGGTACGATCAAAGACTTGAACGACGGGGTCGTCATAGCCCAAGTGTTGAATCAAATCGCCCCGGAATGGTTTCCGCCCGTTTGGCTCTCCAAAATCAAGACGGACGCAAACGACAATTGGAGACTGAACGTCTCCAACTTAAAGAAGGTGCTTTCCAAGATCCTCGACTACTACCAGGAATGCTTCGGTCAGAACCTCAACCCGAGCGTACTTCCGGACGTGGTGAAAATAGGTGACGGCTGCGATCCCCAGGAGCTGGGCAGGCTCCTCCAACTCGTACTCGGATGCGCCGTTAACTGTGATAACAAACAAGTGGGTGTCTTTTTCAGAATTAAACTCCTCACATTTTTCCTCCCTTACGATCTTATATATTTTCCTATTATTGACTTGAAAGACTTCACTGTCAGCATAGTCCGGTATATACAAATTCTACACTGAAATACAATTATGGCCATCTCAATATTTTTAGACACATCGACTGTTTATGTGTTTATGTTTTGTCGTCTTAAACGCCCTAAATGCCAGCGACTATGCAGACCGGGATGATCATAGACGACTAAACTGAGGAACATCATCTCACAAACAAAGTTTCATAATCTCGCAGACCTCAATTGAACGTATCATAATCCACTTGGAGCAAAAAATGTCAAAACGAAAATAAAACAGACATAAATAAACTGATTCGCACAAGTCGCAGTGTTTATATTATTAGATAATGCTAATGGTCTTGCCTAATCTTGTGATTTGTTTTGTTTCTGTTTTATACTTTATAGTGGATGGTTGATAAAGAACAAACAGTACAATTTTTTCACAATGTATACAGAATAAGAGAACTATATACTGAACTAATTTGAGTTTACATGTGAATTTAATGTTTTACAAATTACACGGGCATAGGCCTAAGTGGGAATTAAGGACTGTCAGATTATGGATTACAATGTCGCTGTGTCTACTACAGTAAAACATTTGGAATAGGTTTATCTACAAATGTGCGCGTGAATGTTCCCCATTACACAATGGAAAACAGTTTTTATTTCAATAATAAAACTGCTCTTACTTAGCCGTAAATCTGCAGTCTTTGTGTTGAATCACTAGGGCGGTTCGCTTACTGCTACATTCTTTATGATTGAGTACTATGTTGCACAATATAATTAAAAACTTTGAGCATATCTGGTTAGGATGCTTAATGTTACAAAACACCAACTTAAGGGTTTTTAAGCAATATGAGTAAACCAGTGGATAATGCCTTTTAGGAGGTGTCGATGGCTGCAGCGGTTTAGGTATTGACATGGTGCTCATCACTGTAAGGCAATCTGGGTTCGAATCCGGTGGCTCTGCATTGAACAACAAATGGGCTTTTGTTCAAAAACACCCGCACTATGAGGGATAATATAATCTCGCAATTGAAATATTTTTGAGAAAAAAATGCATAAAGTATTATTGAATATACCAACTTGAGAGATTGACTCGGTGTGACTGAGCGCTGGGTGACTTCACTTAGCATATGCTAGACTTGTAGAGCCACATCCCTCAGTGATGGTCATGTTATTGGTGCTGAAATGCCTGCTTATACTGATTGCCATCACTGCACGGCCGTTGAAATATGATAAAGACACATCAGAAACTAACTGGATATGTAAGGCAAAGACATCTTACACTAGAGAATACCTCTACTTGAGTAAAATTGAATTGATTGTAAGGTGGTAAAATCTTTTTCTTATCAAGTAAGGTCTAGGAAAGACCAGGGGAATGATATGACTCAAATATTCATATTTGCTAGTTTAGAAACTTGTGGAAACATTTGTGTTTCATATCTTAATTGCTATTAAATTTATTCTGAATATATGAAGCTTTATTATTTATTTATTTTTTAGGAATATATAGGTCAAATAATGAAAATGGATGAAATTGAACAAAGGGTTATGATGGAATGTATACAGGAGCTTGACAGTGGAGGTGCCCTCAGCTTTTCGGCAAACTTTTCCCTTGACCCCCAGTTGGAACAACTTGTAGCTCAGCTGAATGCTGCAAATTTAGCCAAGGAAAAGGCTGAACTTAAAGCAAATGAACTTGACCTTCAGGTTAGTTATAATTGTTTACTGTTCTAATAATAACTGCAAATTAATAGGCATTTCAAATAAATTGATAATATATTAACCAGTTGTTTGTGAAAGGAAAATGTACAACCTGCACAAAATTTCATACGCTGCAATACTAGTTGTCATTGCTCCCGGATTTTTTATTTTTCAGTCAGATTCCACATTTCTCTACAAACACTAGTTGTTTTTATACAAAATATTGAAATTTAAATCATTATAGTTTTATATACAGGGTTGCCAGAGAAAGGAAACAATGGAAGTGATCAAATATTCTATGCAAAGCGTGGTGCAAAAAGTGTCCACAAACGCTGTTCATATATGTAGTTTTCTTTCTGGATTTATTGACTTAATCAAAACATTTCTGTTAATAAAGCAAGCGAACAACCAACCAACCTAAGAAAACAATTCTTTATTTCTTTACACACATATTGTACATATTTAAATTGTTTGTAATTCAAATGAATGAAGGTTTATTATTATTATTATTTGCCAATGTGACAAACTGATAGGACAGAATATCTTGTGGTAACTCTGTCACCTTTAACTTCTATTTTTAATATGAAATAACTTTCCAAGTCAATAATCACTTTTTTGACTTCCGGGACACTCAAAAGTTGCCTGAAACCTCAGCTGATCTGTTTGCACTTTGTAATGCCGCTGTTATGAACTTTTCCTTATGTAGAGAGATAGCCTTGTAAAATTAGATTTCTTTCAAATAAAACAACAAATGGATTTTTTTCATTTTCAAGTGAGTTTTAGGACTGTTGATAATCATTCCTTTTTCTCTGAAACCTCATAATTACTGTGTATTACATTTAATTGCTAAAACTTTAACATTTCAAATAGTTAAAATTAAGCGTATGGTCTTTTCTTTTGAAAGATTGCTACTTTACAAGAAGAAAAGCTACAGTTAATAGAAGAAAAGAAAAATCTTTTAGATGAGCTTCATTCTAGGTATGAGTTGACAGGAAGTGGGCCCTTGCGGAGACAGGTAAACTAAAAATATTGCCAAATAAATGGAATAGTTGAAAATTAATTGACACTTGCTTAGGTGGAGAGTTTAAAAGAAGAGATTTTCAAATTAGAAACTCAAAGGGATGATTATCGTTTGAAACTGGAACATCAAGATAAGGAAATGTTGGAACTGCAAGCAATTGTAGATGACCTTCAGAGATCAGCTCAAGAAGCAAGGTCTCTTAAGGATGAGCTTGACATCCTCCGTGAGACGGCAGATCGTGTCGAAAAGTATGAAGCAGCTATTGAATCATACAAGAAGAAGCTTGAAGAGGCTGGTGACATGAAAAGGGAACTGAAACAAATCGAGGCCAAGCTCAAGGAATATATGCTGATGAATATGGAACTCGAAGAAGAATTGAAAAAAGTTTCAGGTTTAAAAGCTCAGGTCGAGGTCTTTAAAAAAGAAACTACTGAATTACATGATAGATTAAGTGATGAAACAAAAAGAGCCGATAAACTTCAATATGAAGTTGGTGTTCTCTCCAGCAAGCTGATGACTACCGTCGGAGAAAAGGAAAGGCTCATAAAAGAGAGGGACGCTCTAAAAGAAGCTAATGAAGAATTGAGCTGTGCTAAAGTCCATGCCCAAAGTCCAGTAGGGGGAAATAAAGATATCGGATTAGAATCAGTTGGTGTCCTAGAATCAAGTTCAGACCTTAGACAAAAAATTGCAAGGTAAAATAAAGTTTGTAACATTTTTCCATATTGTCTATGGGTTGATGTGGTAACAACTAAATTACCAAATGAATTTTTTTTAAATGGTATTTATTCTACAATAAAATCATATTTTTTAACATATAGATTTTATTATTTTTTAAAATTCAAGTTATTACAATATTCATTTACTCATATTATAATAGTTAATTGAAAAAAAATGTTATGGTGGTTGTTATTGATCATTTTGGTGATCTGCCTATCTGTGCTATTTTGGTCTGTCAGACGTGTTTCTGCATTCACCATCTTCACTCTGGGTGAATTCTGTGCAGTCGAGATGGCTTCTTTTATAAGAAAAAGGTCAATCCTGCCAACAGACCAAACCAGTAAGTATACAGATCAAAATGCATTGAAATGCAGGTTCATCGTCCCAAAGACCCATCATGGAGAATTAACAACAAATAAAAAATTCTGGCCAATCAGGATTGCTGATATTGTGTACAATAATATTATCATCTATTCTATTTTATACATCAATAGATAAATCAAAAGAATTTGAGAAAAAAGTTAAATCAGCTAAAATATGTAATTATTTGGACATTTTTTGTTGTCTCATTAATATTTAGTCAATGTTATCCCTCCTTTATAGTGTGTAATAAATGTAAACAAAATACATAATAGTTATTATAGTTTTTTTTAACTTATATACTTTATTTTTCTTAGGTTGGAACATGAAAACCAAATGCTTAAAATGTCCCAGAAAGGAAAAGAGGAAGACTCGGTACAGGTCTTGCAAAACCATTTAGAAACTTCAAGAGCACTCTGTGATAAAATGTGGAAGGAAAATAGACAAGCCCATCAGAAAATAGCAAAACTTGAAGGAGAACTGAGAGAAGCTAGTGAAAAAGACGGTTTTCAGACCAAAATTATGGAACTGCAGCAACAGGTAATTTACAAATACTCATTGTTAATGAGCTGTGAAATATTTGTATATTTATTTAAACATTATTTCTAAATTGCTTAACCTTAATTGGTTAAATCTATTTTGTTGTACAATAAACTACTAACACTTTTTTTACATGTTTTGTATCTCATCTGATTAACCAATTTGAGATTTTAATTTTTTTTTTTTAATATTTTAGCTTTTTCAACAGCGGCACAAATATTCAGCTGAGTTGGATGAAAAAGATGCAGCACTTGTTGAGAGTAAAGATGTTATTAGCATATTACAAGAAAAACTTTCACAAAAAGAAGCCGAACTCCAGGAATCTGAAGCGAGGAGTAAAAAATATTGTGAAAAGGCTCGATCTGCCATTAAAGCAATAGATCCTGATATCGATACCAACTCAACTGAGGCCAGCTTGCGCAGCCAAATCGTAGAAATACATCGTAGTTACAAAGAGAAGGAAAAGGAAATGGAGGAGATGAAGAAAATCTTTGAAATGGAAGGCAAAATGATATCCACGACTTTTCACAGACTCAGCCAGAAAAAACAGAGGGAAGCCATCGAACAGCGATTAGCGAGCCTAGGGCATGGTCAGTCTTTCATCAACAGCCAACGTCAACCGGTAACAATGCGTTTCAGCACCTTAAATTCCAAATAAAATCACTAGAGTGGTTTTAGTACATATCATTGGTCTTATGGTCATATATGTTATAACTACTAACATAACAGGCGTGTATGTATTTAAAACAATGTTCAGGCTATATTTTATGGGGGGTTTCGATAATATATTTAATATAAATTTCAGAAATCTTCTAACAGTAGAATAACTAAATTTACAAGTACAATAAAACAAATACAACAATTATATATAGTCATCAAATCTAGAAAGAAGACTGCTGATCAAAATTGGTAAAGATATATTTTTGGATATACTTTTTTTTTTTTTAATTAACATTGATTTAATTGAATCGTAATGTGATGTTTTCTTAAACTGACTGAAATAGATTTGAAATCTAATTGAGATATACACGTCTTTGGATGAAAAACTGTAAACCGACAATATTTTCACAATATGTAAATCAATCTTAAATATATCTTTTGAATGCACTGGTAAAAGGGTATTCGTTTTAATATTTTTATATCAGAAATAGAGAATTTAGTATATTCATTATAGAGACGTAGATTATAACTGTTTAATAAGCATATCGTATAATTCAAACACCTCTCAAAATATGTAGCAATTGTCACTAATCACGTTAAAAATATGTAGTAAAATATAAAACCCATTCGATAAATATGAGGTAATGAATGATTAACAAATTGTTACAGTTAGGTCTGTTCTCTGTTTGGTTTCCATTATTATTAGTATTATATAAGATGGTCATATAAGACGCACTAAAAGGATTAATTTTAAAACATTCCAAAGGATTTGATTCAGCTTATTCAACCGTGAACCAACTGTTAACCACCTCAATTTTGGGGCCTCGTGTCTCCAAAAATTCGATGGAAAGTCATTTTAACAGAGGTCGGCAAAAAAAGAAGTTGTTAGAGGCCATTGATGACCTAGTGTGTTCATCACTGACTTTGAAAAGTTGTTAATTTATAGCGTAATTGAATGTGTTACTTTTTAAGAGAATTCTCCGTAAATTTAGAATTTTTATTTATTTTTTCTGAAGCCTTTGTGTTTATAATTCATAATTTTGTTTTCTTTAAATTTATTGTGTTCCATTTTTTGATTTGCCATATTTTTGACAAAAGTATAATTAATAATTTCATAAAGAGGTGAACAGTTGGCCAAGTTACAAGAAGTTTCATGGTGGGGTTCATTTCACCACACTGCATTTTTTTTTCCTCTCCGAAAGAGTTCACTATTTTCCTCACTGATAAATAGTGTGGTGCCAGACTAATGTGTGTTTGGTTTCTCAGGAATCCCATTCACCACTGAGCGTGAATGTGGGATTGTTTGCAAGAAAGTAACAACACCTGAAACCTAACATGGTTTTACATAACTTTAAAAATCTAACTTAAAAATATAAACGTTATTCATTGATTGTAGTGTTGATATTCTGAAAATAAGAGTTTGTGGTTATGCAAGAAATAATCTATTACTTGATGGTATTTGTTTGATATTAATATCTTTTAGGCTTTACGTTTCAGGTGGCTGATTATTTTTTCAAACACTTCCCAGAAGACTATATTCATTTATTAAGTAAAAAGTTAAAATAAAACAATGATCTATTATTACATTTTTCTAGTAAATGTAATTTGTAGAAATACCTTTGCCCAATTAAGTACCAAACAAGAAATCAAAATTCTTTAGTTTTGACAGGACTCTTTTGACTTAAAGGATTAATATATCTTTACAAAATTATGGATTATTTGGGTTTATAACAAAAAGAATAACTGGCTAATAACACAGTCGCTGTCTATGATAATCATTGTAATTAATATTTGTTGCATGATAAATTAATGTTTTTGTTGATGTGTACATCTATTGGATTTAACAATTAATTAACAGTTGTTTATTAGCAAATTCATCTGAATCTGTTTGGAAACAACAAACTAACAAATTTAACTTGAGAATTGCCATTTGTAACACCATTTAAATTGTGATTTTTATAATCAACTTTTTTTCCTAATAATAAAGTTAGTCATTTTACATCTCCAATTAAATTTCATTTGATATATTAACATTCTTGTTAATGTGGTTTAAGAATTGCAAAAGTCTTGTATTTTTTTTCTCCAATTTTTAACTTTTTTTAAAATTGCCCTTGGGTATGATAGTGCATGTTTATCTAAATTCTAAATATTTTATTTTTTGATTTTTTAAAATAAAGTGGATTATAAAAATTATTCGAGAAAATGGCATTTCAAAAAAAAAAATAATAAAAAAAATAAAATAAAAATAAATAATAATATTAATATTTAATATCTAATATTTTTATCTTGAAATGTAAGTGAAGTTTGGTTTGTTTTTTTGTTGTTTAGTTTAACGCAAGGGCTAATGCACCATAATGGATAAGGGGCCAGAGAATCTCGTGTTTTCTGTAAAAACAAATTGGAATAACTGATATGTAGAGGAAAAAAAGTAAGGACAACTTTAAATCCAGTTTAATTAAGTTTTTTTTTGTTATAAATATTTATTATTTAAGAAAATGTATTTTATGTAAATTTTAATTTGATACTTCATTCATCATGATTAAATATTATTTATACTCGCACTGCCGTCAGTTAAAATAAATAAGTCTGAACACCCAATTTTTTTCAAATTGAAAAATTACAGATAGAGTAAAGAGACTTATAGACAAGTAAAGTTGAAAACAATAAAAAATTGTTTGCAAAAATATGACGAGGACTGTGACCAGTGGGTCTAAATAGACCCAGGCATCTTTTTATCTTCAAAATAACCTATAACAATTATATTTTAGTTCAAATTATTTATGTATAGGAAAGACCTAATAGAGAAGGAAGTAAATGGAGAGTACATAAAAAATCGAAAGAAGAAGAAAAAACATTCTCTGTGCCTTGAAAGACTCACGACGGCTGTGCGAGTTCTAAGAACATTTGAAATAAGATTGCTTCCAATTAAAAAATAAATAAATATAAAAGTCACTATTATTTCAGATGATTATCTAAACTTGTCCAATTTTTGTTTAGTATAAAAGATTTGAAGCAAACATATCACCCAGTGTGGCAAAACTCCCTTTTCCAACTTCAAATGCTGATTATAAAAATATTCTAGTAAATATTTTTTACAATTTAATTGTTACTCCTTTCTAATTTTGGTTAGGAAAATTATTAGTCCCAGGTGGTTGTCATTTTTAACTTTGTATTACTCTTAGTAAATCTATGAGGATGAAGTAAAACCTTACTTAAGAAATTATGTACAATACTTAAATTTCACATGATCTTCCTGTCGTCCTACCAGGGCTAAAAAATGTCTACTTTAGATAACACCTATTTTTATTAATAATAATGTGATCATTATTAAACGTATTTGCACATCATTTAATAATGTATTTATATTGGAGAATAAGTGTTCCATGTATCAAAAAACAAGTGCCTCAGTATTTGTTATCAGTATTGTCCAACACTGCAAACAAATAAAAAAATTTTGGTTGATATCTCCTAGATGTATTTAACATTTTATAGCTTATTGGACAAAATGACATTTATACATATGTTTATAATAATCATGTTATTTTTGTACATATATTGTTTATTTAATTTCATTTTACTCTCCTTGGTGTGTATTTAAAAAAAGAAGATAATTTTGATATTTAAAAATCAGTAAAATTATGACAAATACTTTTTTTAAAAAATGCAATCCATCCAAATAATTACTGTGAAATTATTTTATCTGTGCCCATAAAAATATGAAATTGTTTTGAATGTTTTTCTTTTGTAAGAAATAAATTGTTTTTTTTTACATACTTAATTGACTATCACATTTCTTATATCTCTGACCGTCTTCAATGGAAATAATAAATCATTTCTTCACACTATAATCATTGAGGGTCATCTGACAATGAGTGCGACAATGACATCATACTAGAAAAAGGTTAAAATATAGCCATCAATTATTAAATAAAGATTGGTTTATTTACATAATTAACAAAGTAAAAATTAAGACTTTTGTACATTTTCTTTCACTTTGTTTGTTGTTTTTTTTATCTTAGATGTTTTATCAGGTTTTTTCCTACTGCTGTTGTACTTTTTACTTTGTATAGCTGTTGAAATTGATTTCCTCTCAAGAGGTTGGGTCTCCAGTTGTTTCCTTTCTGATCGTTTTACCTTTTTCAATTTTAGCATGTATTCCGGAACTGGACAACCAGATTCTTTCAACAGCAATGCTATGCTCCGCAGGAGGATTTTGTCATCATTTGTAAAATACGTGATTGCTTTTCCTGGTCTTCCAGCTCTGCCAGTCCTCCCAATTCTGTGGATGTACGAAATGGCCGACGGTGGAAAGTCGTAGTTAATAACTAATTTAATACCTTTGAAATCTATGCCCCTACCCATTATGTCTGTACAGATCAAAACCCAGATTTTCCCCTCTCTGAATGCATTAACTGTATTGTCTCTTTGTAACTGTGTCCTATCAGCATGGATCACATCGACACTGATCTCATCATAAATCAATTCGGTGAATAATTCTTTTGCTCTTTCTTTAGACTGTACAAACACTAGGACTGGTGGAGTGAGTCCTTGATGTATTAAATTTCTGAGCGCCTGAATTTTACCGGCCTCATTTCCAACATAAATCAATTCCTGTTGGACATCTTGGACAGTTGTGTTGCGCTGCCCTACGGTGATAGAAATAACCCTGTGCAAGTTTTTCCTGCACCATTCGGCTACATGGACTGTGTACGTTGCACTAAACATGGCTCGTTTCAGGATGCTGTTGTCACAACTGGTGTAAATCTCAGCCAGTTGATCCCTGAATCCCCTTACACCAACTTCAAAAAGTTTATCGCATTCATCCACAATCAGCCATTCCACTGTTTCCAAATTTATACAATTATCTTCTTTCCTCATTAGATATATAAGCCTATTGGGTGTGCTAATTAGAATATCACATTTTTTTGAAAAATTGGAACCAAAACTGTGTCCACTCTGTGAGACTTTTTTAATTAAGTAGGGTTTAAGCCCAGTGCCTTCTGAAAGCTGGATACACTCTCTGAATATCTGCCTTGCCAGTTCCCTCGTCGGGCAGAGAATCAACGCTCGGAATCCATTTTTTGAAGGCTTTTTCAAAAGGCTTATTAAAGGAAGAAGAAAAGCTGCTGTTTTGCCAGATCCGGTAGGTGCACACGCCATAATCTGCCTACCTTGCAACATCGCAGGGATTACTTGCATCTGAATGGGCGTCGGTTTCTTGTAGGTGGCATTTTTTATATTTTCCAAGATTCTTTCTGGCACCATAAACTCAGTACAGAGCTGTTCAAAGTTCTCAATGGGTGGAGGAACTTTTTTACCTCTGACCGTTATACGGTTAATATTCCTTAATCTGTTAATCCTTTCTTCCTGGCACTTGATATTTTCAACACTTTGCGATTCTTGTTTCACTTCTTCTATTTTCGAACAGGAATTCTTTGAGAATTTAGATCCTGAAGAAAGTTTTCTAAAAATATCCTGAAAGTCCATTCTGTAGTCTCTCTCATACAATATGTATCAATCTATTCAGTAGAACGGAGATACCTGGGGGGGAAATAAGTTTGTTTTTAGAAAATCAGATTAATGCAGTAATACTATCAACAAACAGAGGATTTAGACAAAAATGAAACAATTAGACGTGAAAGTTGGTGAAAACCAAGGATTCAGACTTATGTGTTTCAATGATTTTCTCACAAGTATATCTCAATAGAACTATACATAATTTTTTCCAGTTAGAATACAAAAAGACATCATTTCAAAAACAATAAGTTAAAAACTATATACCTTTTAGATCATTTTATATCCAAAAATGTAGGGTAAATAATAAACAGTTGGACTCTATGTTTACTTCATGAAAACTAACACTCGACTATCAAAGTATCAACTCAAGCAATGAAGCAACTAGCATTTAGCAACCTAGCACGTGTTTTGAAATTTGGACACACGAAGAAGGTTATCACCAGCAGGTTAGTTGACATACGAAACGCGAAACCGTTCAAGAACGACGCTACTGAATACCAATAGCTAAATGCTTACAAACATTAAAAAAATCAAAATAAATAGCTTTTTAATGTCGTGTTATTGTATTCGTCAAACTTTTAACAAACCAGATTTAGAAACATTTTTACACATTTATCTCTGCCAAAAAATCCTTGCCAAATTTCCATTTTAATTATCTTCCTAATTACACACTGTTAGTGCAAGATAATGTTCGAATTCAATTTTTTTTACATGAACAAGAGGTTTTTGATAAAGTGAAATTCAAGCTTAAATGGCGAAAACATCCAGCATAAAGCCAAGGCCTTGTTGAGAATTGTCTAAAGAGTGGAGTTAAAATTGGGGAAAAAACCACAAAATGGCGTACTGGTTATCAGCCACTATGGTAAGATGGTCAGAGACACTAAATAAGGAGACACAGACCAAACTACAAAGTATACAAAGTGAGAGCATGAGCGTGTCTCAGTGTTAGAGCGGCAATGCATACCTGCCCCACTAAGGCAAAATGACTTAAGAAAGAAAAACTCAAGCATGGCAAAAACACCAGGTATGGTGAGGCAAGCTAAGAGATTTTAACCAAAACATTTTTAAATGAAACTAATATGAATTTTTATTTTAGCTTGTAGAAACCCCTAAATATAAATTTTTGAATTTAAATATATCAATTTTTCGCAATATTTGAGAAGTTATCAGAATATCTAATTGAAATGGCTATAATTCAATAAATGGTTGAAAGGATTTTTACGTTCAAATATTTGAAAGTAGAGGAAATATCCTTGTGAGTGATAAGTGGCTCCCCTTCTGAAGGATATCACTTCCCTTTGAATTTGCATAACTGCTTTTTCAATGATGTATAATAGTTATTAAAAACTAAACTTTACTATTTAGTGTTTACTGCAAAGGACATAAAGGCATGTTGGCCCAATTACACCAAAATAATCCTGAAGCAAGGAAAATGTTTGGTTGGTTTTAATCATCTCAGTTGGATAACCTTGCTGGTTTGCAATATTAGAAAATTTTTATTTATGAATTTACATCTTTCTATTTCATGAGAACTCGACTAGAAAAAAAAGGAAGTGTATCCTACTCGGCACCTGCTGTCTGATCTTAAATTAGATATATCCATTACATGATATAATGTCATATGAACAACCCTAAGAAAACATTGAGGATTAGATAGGATTGCATTTAATGTAAAAATGATTGAATAATTCAATAAAACAATAGCAATAATTAATAAAAACTCTATTGAATTAAAAAGAAAATTTTTAGCAATAAAAGAAACATTAAATGATTTTGTTGAATTAGAGAAATTAAAAGACCCTGCGAATCACCTAAAAATTATATATGAAATGTTACTAAACATTGTACAAGATTTAGAAAACTATAATATTGCAAAAGCAAACTATAAAACATCATCCCAGCATTATCTCCTAACAAAAATTGTTAGCTAAAATTAAAGAAATAGCTAAATCATATAATAATCCCTTAGAAACAAAATTAGAAATCGTAATATAGTTCAAAAACTTAATAAAGGTTAATTGTGAAATTCATTATGAACCAATACATTACACTTGCCTTACTTAACAATAATGATTATAAAACTTCGTAAATTATTCCCTGTACGATAAAAATTTATTACAAAACAAATATCGATAATGTAAACTTTGAAGGCCTAAATTAGTAATAGTTACCAAAAATAAATAAATGTCTGTACTCATATGAATAAATCAACCATCAGAACAATATGGGCGAGAAAGCAATACTTCGCTCTGGCAATTTGTCACATTGTAAATACATAGAACTCATCTTATTTGCAAACCAACTTATTTGGGTACAACTATAATTTAGCTACATTTCGCAGAGAAGATACTATTACATAGTATAATTAGCCATGATGTAATTACAATAAAGCCAATAAAAGGCCTTTATTTAATCAATACTAACAACAGTAAGGTAATCTTCTGGAACAGAGAATTTTACTACTCTTTCAAGATTTCCAAACAACATTGAATTTGCCCTCGACAATGATCAACTGAATTCCCCATTAACCTTAACAATTTGGGAATTGGAGAGCTCAGCCTTAAACACGTTCTCCAGTCATCTAGGATGATGTTTCAATGTCAATAAGCATATGGGCAATGCCATTCTACTGTTTACTGATAGTAGTATCAGGGCTATGAAGTCGTTATGTGGTATCACCAGCATAAACAAAATTTAGCTGTTGCCACCCCTAACAACCAGAGACCCCTGAGAGCTTTACTTGGCCTTGGAGGAGTTACATCAGCTTACATTATAGATTCAGCACAAGATTAACATGTTATAATCTAGTTTCTAAGAAAGAATGAACAGCTGGAAACTCATCCCAGTTTTCTTTTACCACCTCTGCTCAAGGAAAATGCAATTTAAAACTACCTTAACTGACGTTCTTGGTAATAAATTGAGTAGATTAAAAATAAATATTTTTTTGTTTTTAAGTAGTTCATTGAGATCACATATTAACTTATGCACAGGATGAGTTTAACTTCTGTTTCCCCTATAATGTTTTTATTGGGGCGCTTTTGAGAAAAAAACGAGACTCGTGTACTTTTATTTTTTGTCTACTGTTTCGTGAACCAAAAAGTTTTGAACTAACTCTCCATCATAGCAAGATACGAATAGGAGTTTAAATATTTCAAACCGCAAAATATTCATCAATGTAATTTTTGAAAGTGTTTTGGTCGGTGAATTCAAAGGTGCACGCGGTTTTTAAATTGGTTCTCAAATTATTCATAAAAACCCATTTCCGAATGTTGATTTACCGAAGGACGATATCTTCAATCCGTTTCTTCAACCAGCAAGCATGAAATGTCCTACAAAAATCCTACATAAAAACGTTTGCATCGTTGAATTCAACGTTTAAAAACGCTATCCTGGACAATTACATCTAAATCTTTTGGCTAATGAGAAATTAGACAAAAAATAAAAAGTCAGTATTATAGTTGTTGTCCAATCCATCAACTTCTCACTCAGACGGAACACACGACCACTCATTACTTAAAAGGGTATTAACGCCCGCAGTCAAATACGTACGTGGTTGTGATAAGTAATCCCCAACACAAGACTAAAACGGAAGGAACCAACAGTCATTACAAACTGCTATTAGCACTACTCGATACCAAGCAATGCACTTGAAAAAATTAATACGTATCATAATGCTAATATTTAAGTAGAAGGGTTCGAACTCTGGGAGTTAAGAATATCAGCTGTCAACACATTCAAATATTTCAATTGAAAGTTCTCAACGACATTGTTAATCGAGACGTGTTCTCTTTGTTCCAGGCGAAAGTCAGATAGAAGAAATAAACATTTTCCGCACATATCAATGTTCTGATCGTCCGGCAACCCGACCTCACTATTGTCCCTGATTTCCTTCTCTCCGTCGACTGGAGACACCGATTGCCAGGAGATACCCTAAAAATCGGTAACAAGGGAAAAGAACATTTTTAAAACAGTGTTGTTTTTCTTTAGTTAATAATCGTCTCACGTGTTTTCCGTACATAATTCTTACATTTAACATTTTCTTAATTGTAATTTCAAGTATAAAAAAGCAATACAAACAATATGAGCAATTAAAGGGGGAGGGAGGAATAATGGTAACTTGAATTTGACGTTATTTTTATCGAAATTAATCCCCCCCCCCTAAGAAGAAAACGCCGTAGAAACAAATTCGTGTTTTTGAAGAAACGGCTAAATCCAACTGGAGAATCAGAGCAGAGTCTGAGAAAGGGTATGGATGGATGGGTAGTTGGCGGAAAAGTTGTGCCCGATGGTCGTGCTGGTTTGTTTGTCGGAAGGGGTGCCACGAAGGGTGGTGGATAAACCGTGGGGCAGAGCCGTTGCATGGCGCTCCGGTCGGCTTCCAACCCCTGACGGAGGCGGTTCTCGAGGGTTGGAAGTGATGACGAAGGGTGTGCAAAAGCAGGGAGGGGTCGGGGTAGCTACCGCTATTGAGTCCGTGTTTCAGTCGCCTACCAGCTGCCGTTCCTCTTTTCTCTTTGCTCCGTTCGTACTGCCCGTCAACGAATAATAGTATATTTAGCTTCAATTCGGTCCAAAGCTCGTCAACCGAGTCTAACCGGAAACAGTTTCTGGATTTATTGATTTTGAAGGCCGGCCGGAGTCTCCTAGTTGTGTTAAGGGTTAAATTTACACAACACAATAGGAGACACCACTGGCTGCCGGCGTTCTTCACTACTGCAATCAGCATCGACTCTCACACATCACATTTCAGGTAATCTTTAACGTTCCCCTCGACTCACTCTTTCGATCCCGACACAGACCCCCATAATTGATTTTATCCGAACGCGTTTTCCAAAACAAACAGTTTTATTATATCTATGTAAAACATGTGTTACGTTATGAGTTCAGAAGTGGTCCCCACTCCGTCTTAGGGAATAAATAAAACATGTCTTCATAATGAAGTTAAAACGAAAATCAAAAATCCATATTTTGTCTGTAAACTTTTCTTCAGATCACAAAGCATTCTTTATCTATTAGAAAATGAATGAAAATTAAAATAATCAGAAAACGTACGATTCAAAGTGAACTTATCCTCCATTGTATCGTCGTTGTGCCGTTCATTTACCGATTAACATTTACCCAGCGTCAACAGAACTACGAGTTTCGGGATGCCGGAGATTTTCTGGAACGCTGCAGATGGAGCCGAATTAAGTCAATCGGCTAAGCTGTAGGAACAACGAAATCCAAAAGACTAGCTAAACCTTCATGACTTAAGTGTTATTATCTTTAATGTCCTAACGCCCCGATCAGTTCTGCGATTTTCGCATACATTGGGAAAATTTATTGAAACTAAGCAATAAAAATAATTTAATGATTATCTACTTATGCGCTTTTACTCAGCGTTTTGGCACCACTGTCGAATCGTTTTTTTCCAGCATTCCATTTTCTCTGTCTTTTATTTTAAAATATACGACAAAATGTACTTGTTAGTTAATTTGTTTGCTCAAAATTATTATTAATTGTAAACCAAGCATATATGTTGATAAAGGTACAAATTAAAAAAACAACAGAATGCTGAAAGCATCACCCATAGAAAAAGAAAATGCCCTTTGTCGGCGCAAGAAATCTAATTAATATCATTCTTCTAAAATTAATTAGTAATAATTAAAGCGATAATGTGTTAATTTTATCCATTAACAGATAATTTATTGTGTGCCTAGCATTTGGTGAGATTTCCTAAATCGTTAATAGAGGCCATTTGGGGACACATCCAGAATTAGTATTTAAAAAAAAAATCATTCATACAACAAAGTCACAACTTTTTTAAACAGAAAAATTACATAATAAACCATCAATACATGACGATTTGCTAAGTGTGTAATAAATAAATAAACAATGAGGCGACGAAGAGAACGGTATCTCCCAGGGATCGGTGATGAGCGTGATGCTATTTTTATCAGTGTGAATGGAATCGCTGGAAGCATCACCCACGGAAAAAGAAAATGCTCTTTGTGGACTAAACTTGCCGACTTGTTTCTTACTTCTCTGAGAAAACATAACAGAGGTCGATGGAGTGATGCAGTCTCTGATAAAGGTAGTGACTGCGAGCATTAAAGAAACCCGATTCATACTATCTTCGTAAAAAAAATTGTGTGCGTCCACTCCAGGGCACATAGATTGCTCTCAAGGGACGCACTGGTCGAGGAGAAGATGCCGTCCATTGCCTTGATATTTGATGGAAAACAGATAAGTCAGTCACACACCGAAGCCCTCGAGGCTAATTGCAGATGAACCCTTGGCCTGATGAGATAAATTGGTCACTTCAAATTTGTAGAGAGTAGTTTACCCTCAGTTATGGGGCCGAGTCCCTGTCCAAGAGGAGACTCCTCTGACAGACATGGTTCTGGGATGCCCATACAGGGAATGGCACTGGGAAAAGAGCATCGCCTTGGGTCATTCCAGCCCTACTTGTCCGAGACACCTTGACCAAATCGACTGCATTGAGATACCATTCCTCGAACTTTCGTTTCAGGGTATTCCGGTTTTCGCCTCGTTTTCACGAACGAATCTAAAACCGGAAAAATAGTGCTGGACTGCGCTATGTACAGCGGACGAGTGTCCACTTCCACACCTTACTATCGCGATCCGACCCGCAGACGCTAAACGAGCAATAAAGAGTATGGTGAAGAAAAGGTGGAAGCGTCAGAGGTCTGAGTTGTCCGAGATACCCTTGCGCGTCAAGACCATGGTCGATAGGTGGCACCCAGAAAGTCTCAACCGTAAAAGGAGTATCATACTAACCTGACTCAGATTGGCCATACACGGTTGACACATGGGCATTTACTTTGGGCCAAGTCCGTGTATTGTCCGGAACGCCGAGACACTTAATTGAAGGGTGTTGGCACAATATAGAGAGCGAGTAGGAATACGACCCGATACGGCAATATTATGCTCGACGGCAGCGAACCTAGCCCCTTATTGGAAGAAACTAGAATGTTTCTGTATAGAGTTGTTTTTAGTGCAGGTAATCAATCCTATTGTGCTATAACAACAATATAACAAGTTTCGTGATAGATGTATTCTGTGTTAACTGTTTCGTGAAAATGTATTTATAAGCGTGAATGTGTGCAGTACAAGTGCGTCTATGGCGGGACACAAGTGCCCCATCAACCCGCAANTTTTAAATATTAATCAATGCTTTAGGCCGTATGGTGTCATAAAAAATACTATTACGGCAAGCTAACCAGAACAAAAAATAAGCAATATATATAACCATAACCATCCCTATATATATATATAATCGTGAATGTGTGATTGATACAAGACCGTCGATTGTTCAATATTAAGTACCCCATCGACCCAAAATTAGACCTTTTAGAATGTGGGTAATTGTTTATATGTGTAAAGGAGAAATATCGAATCCTCTATCACCCCACTTGACAGAATGGTATGTAAATAAGAAAGAATGTATTTAAGATGATAGAGTGTGAATGGGTTTGGATTTAGATAATGATTGCATTGGGGCTAAAATGACTTTGTTGTCGATAGCCTCTGGAGAACTTGGACGGTGGTAAAGATAAGACCGAGGTCTGAAACCAGGCCATCAAAACCCCGGAGTCGGCGATTCTCGCTGCTTGCCACAAGAAGTCAAAGGGCCGGTCATATGTGCAGAATCGAACCTATATAAACCGGTAAAAAATTAGTGTTGTTTAATATAAAAGAATTTTAGTGGAAACATCATTCTTTCTACTAAATTCCGCGTAAATTATTTAAGTGGTTAAAATGATTGAAACTTCCAGAGAATTTTTTGTTCCATATAAATTAATGAACTTATGAACATTCTCATTGCTGTTTTCTTAATTAATAAAAATCAAGGTTAATCGCGATGACATAATATAATTTATATTGTTTTTGTTTTTTAAAAATTAATATCCACATTATTTTACTTACATTATTATTGCTTTAACGCCTTCCAAAGCCAATCCTTAAGGCTTATGATTAAATCGTTCTTCAGGCAGATTATGAGTTGATAAATGTCACTGTTCGCGATAATCGACTCAGTTATAATTCATCATACATAATCAATAAAAGTAATTAATAGGTCAATTATGACTACTAAATAAATGTATGGGTTGATACATAATTATGTTTAAATATGTAATTATTATGTATGTTGTTAAACATATATAATTGTATAAGCCAATAAGAACGTGTTCTGTACATATATCAGGGTGACGTATGTAACGATACAGAATTTCTTCGCAAGTATATTTCTATAAATACAACATTTCACATTGTAATCTAAAATCCTCTCGGCTTTCCCGTGAAGGACTGCCCTCTCCTGGAGTAGGATTTATGATCAATTTTCGTTTTAAACTTTTAAACAAATTCATCACATCAATGTTTATACATAATTATAATATTTTAATTTTTAGATTATAATGAGTGACTATATACACTGAGAGGCAAAAAGTGGCCACCCTCGTTTTTTTAGTAAATTGCAAAAAAAGAGTGACTTTTTATTCTCAAATGACCAATATGCAATTAAAAAACTAATACCAATGAACCCGAAACCCATAATGTTATATGGTACGGTCAAAATACACAAGGAAAACAAACCTATAAATAAGACCAGTAGTGTCCTTTCATGCCAAAAACTCGCGATAACAATTGGCAAAATAATTAAAATTCATACCAATTCCAAACCTACATTTGGTATTGTTTATTAAAGACGATTAAAGAACATAAATTACCTAACACCTGTGTTTTAGAGTCATTTGATGTTACTGATTTATTCACAAATATCCCAGTTAAAGAATGTAAAAACCTATAAAATAAAAACTTATGGAGAATTCTATTAACGAATTAGTAAAAAATGATATAACAGACCTCTTAAATGTATGCCTACTATCTAATTATTGTAAATTCCATTATAAAGTTTATGAAATGAAAGGTTTACCAATGCGGTCATATATTCATGGATAATTTTGAAAAAATTCTTTTCAAATCAAACAACAACAATAATTAAATCTGTTCTTTTTTCGAAACGCTATGTAGATAATATTTTATATAGCCAGGAACACTAGAGGATCTAAAAGAATTCCTCCAACTAATTATTTCTTTATACCGTAATATAAATTTTACATTGGAAATTAATAAAGATGGTTGTTGAAATTTTTTAGACTTAAAACTGCCCATATTAAAATAACCTAATTGAAACAGACGTATATAGAAATCCCACAACTACAGATACCATGCTACCAGCGGATTCTTCTCGCCCTTAGACCCAAAAAGCTGCTGGTTTCATTTCGCTCATAGACCCTATGTTAAAACTCACTTTAACACCTGCTAACTATACAAAATAATTACAAACTATTAAAACCTTCGCTAAAAAGAATGGAAATCAAGAAATATTTATTGATAGGTTGCTAGTTAAAAGAATAAAAAATTAACTATAAAAGAAGCAACAATTGGTTTCAGCCACTCCTCCATCATATTATTTAGTTTTTGTTGTTTGTCATATATTGGTGAACTATCAGAAAAAGTAGGTAAAATTCTTAAACAATAAGGTTTTAGCGTACCTTTTGGAGGTTCGTGTTCACTTAGAAACATCCTCTCAAAACATAAAGAGGCTTGGAGATAAACTTGGCCAAAAGCGGGGTTACCTACTTAATTGTAATGATTGCGACATTAAATATATAAGACAAAGCGGTATAAAAATTAAAACGCTAAATCGAACAAATTTTCGGAATTAAAGGACCATCTAAACGA